AAGGCACCACATTGATTTAAAATTTTCTAATAAAACCATAAAAGGTAAATATATGTTTAACTCTGAGAACATTGTATTCTGTATATATCCCAACAAACAGATGACATAAGATCAGGTTTACTGTTATCAAGTGACACACATAGGAGATTTTTATCCTCTCTGGCTGAAAAACCACTTGTTGATATTAAACATTTTTTTAACTATAGAAAGTACAATCTTTTTCTATAAAGCCTTTTAAATGGAATCTCAATCTTAAATAGGGAAGAAATCAAACTAAAGATTATCTTAACATCGCAAATAAATTCAGTATCACTCAAACCATCATTTAACAGGAAAGATATTTTTTCAGACGTCATTGCAACACTCTAATGCTCTTTTTATAGTATAGTAATAAGAAAATGATATTTTAGTGCTTTCAGTATAATGTTCTGTTTCATCATATCATGCATGCACTGTACATGTCATCTTCCCAAGTAAAGAGTTTCTGATCAGCTCCGCTCCACATAAACGTGGAACGGCGCGGATCAGAAACTCTTGACTTGGGAAGATGTGTACATGTATGTACCTTTATGTATAAGTTCATAGAATTTTTTCTGAAGCATTTGCATTTGCTTTGGATGCAGTTTTTCCCCAACTCTGGATGATCTTCCGGTCCTGTATCTAGTTATCGAGTTAGTTCTTGCGGCCCAGCACCTAGCTATCGAGTTCGCTCTTCCGGCCCTTTATCTAGCTATCGAGTTAGCTCTTTTGGACAGACTGTACTTGTCTTAAAGGAAGTTATAAATAACTCAATATTTTTAAGAAACTTTAACAAAAAGTTATAAAAACTGAAACTAATGTATATCAGTATCATAAACAAAATTCATGTAACTTACAAAGCAATCCCTTATGATATGGACAATAAAAGTTTTCTAAAGCTAAGCTAACGCAGACATTGGAAACTATAGATTCTAAATTCAAATGACAATATTGAAGAGTTTGTTACTTTTATGGTAGTTTATGGAATGTCTAGCCTACTCAGTCTTTTACATGTCAGTTAAAGAGACTATCAGTCTTTTACATGTCAGTTAAAGAGACTATCTGCAATGATTTTGATCGCAGTCCTCAAGTAAAGCCAGTTTTTTTTTCTATAATATTGACAAACTTCAAAATATTAACATAAATAACAAAATAAAATAAAGGTTTCAAGAAACTTAAAAAGGTGACATCTTTGACAGCAATATAATTTGCTGTGTCACAGGATTGTAAAATTTTACACGGTTTCTCTAATTTCTCTCAATCTGTGGAAAAACATCATCTCTTGTTCAGCCTGCCTTCAACTTCTTTGAGATTGTTCTGTAAATCTTGTCTTGGAAATCGAATGGTTGTCTACTTCTGCAGATGGCAGTATTTGGAATTATACCCAATAATTCGATTCACCATTAAGTGACGCACAATTTCAAAAGCGTCTTGAACCACTGATGAAACAGCCAGTCGTCGACTCATAACATGATATTTTCGGATGCAATCAATGTTATGAGAAGTTATGAACTTTGATTGAGTTTCCCCCATTTACTCTGTTCCCTCAACAAAGGGAGATTCCTCCGCACTGCCTCCCGGAAGTGGTTTCCGCTTCCGGGCTTCCTGCTTACTCTCTATAAAGAGTATAAGGAACGTCAATTCCATTAAAAGGAAGGAGAATATCGAAAATAGGAATCCAATGGAGAGGTTGTACTGAAAGAGTGTTCCAAGCTGCGTTATCCATGTCAGGAAACTCAACATCAGACAGAAACCTACAAAGCATAATAATGTAGGAGTAGTAAAAGGATATCGCTAAATTGTAGAAAACGATTACAGGAGATTAGCTTATCTCTAAGGTAACTCTATAGAAAACAAGAGTCGGTTAATTGCCTTTTGTAGTAAACAGAAAAAAATTACCAATAGCAAATGAGCACAGAGCTGTTTCCAGAAGCCGTATTGGTAATTTGTCTTGTCTCTGCCACCGGAACAGGAGAATCCAGTACACAAAAACAGAATGAAAGCGAGGCTATGAAAGAACTGTGGCGCAACTATCCCAGGAATACCTTAATTATTTAAAATGTGTAGTTGTTAATAAAATCATAGTAAGATTTCAACTTTCATTATAACATAATTAAAACCTAAAGCTATATACACATATGTACATTGTACCATTGTATTATGGTGTTGGGCACATCAATAAATAAATTGAATAAATATTTAAAATATTTTTAATGTTCAAAACAACTGAAATAAAATATTTTTTTATACAACTTTAAATGTACATAAATTTCTTTTAATATAATATGGACAGTATTGCTGTTTTGAAGTGGATACAATGAACAATTAATTATATCAAAGAACACAACCTTCGGTATCATATAAATCCATTAATGTAGTTGAGAATTTGTGAATATTTCATTGCAGGGTATATAATCTTATGTGTTCAAATGAAGAGCATTGACATTTACCTGTATTCCAGTCACAACTATAGTCATCATACAACTTGCAGTTTTGCCATAAACAACAATTTTGAAATATTTATGATACAACTTAACTTCAAATGTACATTAATTTCTTTTAATATAACATAGTATTATTGTTTTGAAGTTAATACAATGAACTATTAATATCAAAGTATATTTGTGTACAATATTCACCAATCCTTCGATATCGTATAATAAATTTATCAGTTGAGAATTTGTTATTTCCGGGGTGTCTACATATGGGTGTGCTGAATATTTTACTCACTCTCCATGTTTCTTGTCTGTACAAGATAACCTGTACAGATTTCTTGATGTTTCCATCAATGAAATACAAAGACGTCCTTGTTCATTGCCGGAAGAGAATAAACAAGAGGCTTAAAAGCAAAAGAAAGTTAGTTATATCAAGTCTATTTATATTTTAATATGAGAGACTATTGCAGAAAAAATTTACATAACCCCTTACGCGGGTTATGAATTTGCAAGGTTATTAATTAAATGTATAGAATAGAATATTTATCCAACCAATATGGGCCCACAGTGGAGCATACAGATGAACAATGTCCAAAATCATCACAGTTATAAATACAATACACAGAACAAAACAAACATTGTATAATGAACAGAGAGTTAGCTATCTTCTTTTAGGATGCATGAAATGTATACATTACAGTTGGCTTATGTATAATGACTGCAGTATGCCTATATTGAACTATGTTGTTCTCTCCTATTAAATTTTGGATTTAAAAGTTTGTATAATAAAACAACAAACTCTGAATCTTCATTTGACATAATCCATGTAAACAGGTCAACTTTATTAAGCAGTATCAAATTAGGAAAAGTTTTAAAGACTTTATTTAAAAACTCTCTTCTAGAATGTATAAACCTAACCAAGCAAAGGTGACCTTGGACCCCCCCCCCCTAGAAAACAAGGATCTATGTGAAAACGGTATGGAAAGTCAAAAGGTATGAGGTATGAAGCTTTAAAAGTCAACGACCCCCTTCCCCCGAAACAAAACATTTGAGGATTTGATTTTATTAATTTTGACTGGAGTAGACCCCCATGGAAAAAATTTCTGGGTCCGCGCCTGATGTTTCATTTTCTGATATTCCAGTATTGGATTCAGAAGATTAAAAATCTGGCCTAACCACAAATATACAGTACAATTTAACACGCTTAAACTTCTGGGAGGAGCTCATCAAAGAGAAAATTTAAATAATAAAAGATGTATTTGTAAATATCCATTTGTTAAACACAAAATTAAATGCACCCGTCTGGCAGCCTACGGCAAATTAAAGGTTAAAGTTTCTAGGAACTTCTAGCAACTCAATTAAAAATATGCTGTTCTTCTAAGAAAGGACTTATATCAATGAATGAGATTCGAAAGCCCAAGAACCAACCATCTAACAGTTATGGAAAATATTTTTTTTAATAGAACTTACTTAAGGTCAAGGTCAAAATTGTTGGTATCCCTAGGAAGGTCTCGCCACATGGGATACACATGTGAAATATGAAGACTCTAGTTCTAATTTGTTTTAAAAAAGAAAAGGACAAGGTTCAGTGGGTCAAACTTAAAGGCCAGGGTCAAAAGGTCGTATTTATATCTAAGGAAAGGTTATTCCGTGGATATGAATGATACACATGTATTTTAAAATCACATATGAAGGCCCTAGTACAAACCGCAAAAAAAGTTTTTCCCAATGTTTTTTTTTTTATTATTATTTGCAAACGTTTTTTTTTTTTTTTTACTTAAAAAAAAAATGCCACACCCCCATCCTCACCAACATCACCACGAAATAGGATTTTCGGTTTTGACTGTGAAGAAAATTTCCTCAGACCTTTTCAGTTTTCATGTTTTAAGTACTTTTTTTTATTTCTTCGCTGTCCCCTCTCCTACTTTAAAAAAATCGTTAAAGGTACCATTCTATTTAAAAATAATTTGATTCTATCGGTGTTAGTATTAGAAGACCATTGGCTATTGTACTGATACTCATATTAATAACGCACTTTGAAAGAAAATTTAGTGCTTTGTCCTTTTATAACATGCTCTCAAGTTATTTTCGACTTTTCCAAGATCAGATAAAGAACATTTTAACGCACTTTGAAATTTTTTTTCAAAGTGCGTTGCTACAAGGCCCTAGTACAAACCGCACAAAAGTTTTGACCAATGTTTTTATTATTATTTGCAAAAGACAACTGTTCAAAGCGTTTACGAATATGGGCCTCAAAAACACTGTATGGAGATGTATGATAGAAAATGTTTTTTTTCTTCTTCTTCCACATGTTCCAGAGATGCAAAAATCACGCACTGATGAAGAAGGATATATAAAACGGATTTCCCATGCAGAAAGAAAGAAGGTTTATCTTGAAATAACCTTAAACAATTAATGAGTTATCAGAAAGATTTAGCCATCTATTTTTATTTATTTGACACAACAAAAGACTGAAAGAGGTGCACTTTGTAAATGTGAATTGAACTCCCTTATTATACATCGGGATCTGCAATTAATTATATCGGGATCGCTATTTTAACTTGCCGCCTCAACTTCCGTTTTTGTGTGAAATCTCTGTTCAACTGTTGAAAAGAAATGCTTTAATTAATATTATATTTTTTTGCATTTCATTTGCCAAAAAAGATACGAGATGACGGCAGCTGCAGAAAACAGAAGATCGACTGCCGCGCAGTTTTTCATGGACGAGGAAACGACACACAATGAATCCGTGTCGACCTACGACAAGGTATAACCACTTCTACAGCTCTAGGCCTAGTCCCATGATATGCAAATCTCTGAAATCCTTGAACTTAATTGTCTCTTTAAATATTGGCTCCTTAACATTACATGAGGTAAAAAATTTAAAGATGTGATAAGGAGGTGTTTTCATTACAAACAAGAAGAGGTGAAATGTTTTAGAAATTATCAGATTCTGATAAATTCTTAAACATTTCACCTTTTCTTGTTTGTCATCCTTGACCTTTTTGATGTGACAATAGCCTGGATTCATGTCTTTGAAAACGAAATACATTTTCATGCTGATTTACTCAATTAGAGGGATATCAATGGATTCCAGAGTAAAACAATAACAAAAAATTGGATGCAAATAAATTTAGCATCATTTACACATATGAAAAAAATAGTGGGCTTAGCCCTGTTTATTCAATAAATTATTATATTTTTCAGGTGGTGGAACTTTTGAATCAGGCTTCTCTTGTACAGAAAGATCAACAGAAAATCAACATTCTCAGACAGGTAGTTACCAAGATGACATATTTGTAGAATTGTTGTGTGATAGGAAATGTTACTCGGTGATTGGTGCTAAGAGCTATTGATTATCTTAATTTTTTTCAACTTATTTCAAGCGATTTCTTTTCAAACAGGTCCAGGAATTAATCATTCACAAGGACCCAACACTGTTAGACAACTTCTTAGATGTAAGTAAGCTATTTTGATAAAACTTAAATTATGAATAGTTTTCATTTTTAATTGAAAGAAATGCCTTTATGTTTCATCCATACATGCAAGATTTTGTTTTAAGTGTCAGAAATAAAAGTGTGTTTGATACAGGTACATTTGGTGTTTCAGGAAATGCTAGCATTCCAGAGTGATCGGTCTGTAGACGTGAAGAAATACGTCATCACCTTCATGGAGGAAGCCTGGTTAGTTACCTCTAAGTTACATTACACAATTACATTACAAATTATGTCACGTAATCAGCTTCTCTCACAGAGTCGTATAAGATAGGGATAGCAGTAACATTTCTCAGGATGTTCTTCATGTGTTTTATAACACAACTAAGATTACTTCACAACAAATCTCTCAAGTCTAGACCCTTCACCTACACAAATTTTTACACAAGTTAAAGATAGTAGCATTAAAAAAATCAAATGTCTCCCAAGACACCCAAATAAACTTGCCACTCGACCTACACAAAGTGCCTGTCATGATAAAATTAAGCTTACCTTTCAGCAACATTTAAATTAACTCATGGGTAACATTGAATTATTTTACCAGTTAAAAGAACACTAAATGTCTTACAATCTACTCATGAAGTTTTCACATCTCATTCCATCACAGCAAAAAAGACCCAGAGTTGTTGAACAAGATTTTACCCTGTCTACAGATTCTACTGCAGGACGACAATGTTAATGTACAGAAGAAAGTCATTCTGTCTCTACCACAAGTGTACAAAGTCATTATAAAGGTAAAAACTCATCAAATTGTCTCTACCACAAGTGTTCAAAGTTTGTATTAAAGGTAAAAACTCATTTTGAACAAGATGAAAAAGTTTGTGTTCCAGCAGAAATCATTCTCTGTCTACCACAAGTGAACAAAATTATTTTTTAAATTTTGAATTTTCAAAGTGAGATTTGAGAGGATACATTTGTCATAAAAATTCTATGATATTCCAAATTCTATTGTTTATTAAGGTGGCTCATTACATCCACAGTTTATTTCAGATTTCAATACAGCACCACTTATAATGTAGATGTAAAATATCCAGATGGGGATATTGATATCATAAATATTTTTTATAGATTTTTTTAGTTTTTGTTTTATTTTAGTGAAATGTTTTATTTCAGGTTTATTAATCACAGAATTTCAGAACTTTCAGTGTCAAATGATGGGCATCTTCTTAAGACAAGTACACAAAGTGAAAATACCTCATAATACCTAATAATAATTTTATTAGAAAAAAAAAACTTCTCCTAGAAAACAATTAATGCCATTATCTTTTTAATCTATGCATAAAACATTTTAAAAATGTGTTCTGAAGAGACAAGGAATGTATTTCAATTAATTACATATGTCAAATTGAATGAAGAAAGTTTAAACGAAATGAAAAATCCAATTTAAAAAATATTTGGTATAAATAGTCCACTTTCAAGAGTTATCTTTCCTAATTAGCCAAGACTCAAAACACTATGGAACGTTTGACATTACATCTAAAATTCAGAATAAAGCTTTAAATTGCCAGAGTATACATTTAAATCAATAAAACAAATATATAAATTAACACCAACACAGTAAATAGCGCAATAAAATAAAATTTTAATTTCAACAAGGTTGTAGATTTTAACTCGAATTTCCTCCATACATACATGTCAGTGATTGATAGAGTTTACTGCATGCATGGCTATGAAATTGACATTACTTGTTTGGCGAAGATTTGACTGTTGCTTTCTTTTGTTTCTGCCTAAAAGCATTTCTTCTTGGTTTATGCATAATGAATCCGCTACTTTGTTTTCACTGTTTACAACACCGCATGTTTCATCTATTTTTAAAGCGTTTTAAAGGTCAGGGTCATATTATAGAGGTGCCTATACAACTTGTCCCCTGAGCAAACCGGTCGACACAATGGAGGTTTATTTTTTTGTGTAGTACGTCATCAAAAAGTGGTGTAATGAGCCTCCTTAAATAAAGATGTTTGTGTTATTCAATAATATCATTAAAGAGGTGCCAATTTATGTTAACTTTTATTTACTTGCTAACAGTGGCTAGCCAAGGCTAAGACAATGACAGAGGAGAAATCTTTTGTTTGGGAGACCATGAAATCACTGAAGAACAGAATGTTTGAACTGATAGACTCGGAGAATGACGGGTAAGTTAAATATCAGAAAATGACGGGTAAGTTAAATATCAGAAAATGATCGGTAAGTTAAATATCAGAAAATGAAGTGTACAATAAATATATCAGAAAATGATGAGCAAGTTACAGTTGTACTTGACTATCCTGAGCATTGATATCCCAGCTACTGATCAAATCAGGGGGTTCCAGCTACCTTCCCTTTTGTATTTTAACCTCAAAATTTGGAATGCTGTAATATCTTGGAATCTTTTTATACCCCCCGTCAAACAAGTTTGGGGGGTATATAGGAATCACCTTGTATCTGTCTGTCTGTCTGTGCAAACGTGTCCGGTCCATATCTTTCTTACGGAGGACATTAGAATCTACTACTCCACACAAAGATTGCCCATGATCCAAGGGTGTGTCATGACTTTGACCCGAGGTCACTTGAGGAAGTTCAAGGTCACTGGAAGAAAAAGTTCATAATTTGTGTCCGGTCCATATCTTTCTTATTGATAAAGTTGGTAGGTTCTCTTTTCACACAAAGATTGCCCATGACCCAAGGGTATGTCATGACCTTGACCCAAGGTCATTTGGGGAATTTCAAGGTCACTGGAAGAAAAATTTCATAATTCATGTGTGAAACATATCTTTATTATGGAAAAACTTACTTTGAAAAAACCCATTGTGACTTTTAACATTTGGACAGTGCATTTTTTTGGTCACATCAAGTTTGAGATGACTAGGTTTGATTGGATTTGTGTCTCAGTCTGGATTTATGAAATTGATATTAAAGTCATGTTTATTTTAACCGTTTATCTAATTTGATTATTTTTTTTATGTGTTTCTTTTCCACGTGATAGCATTTGTAGTACTGAAAAATTGAAGTCACTCTACATTTTTGATGAATGTTAAAGTTAAAATACTGTTAATTGTAACGATGTTAAACTTTTGGATTATTACAGAGTGCGAACTCATGTGGTGAAGTTTATGGAGGGAGTTATCTTGACGCTGTCACGGAAAACCCCGGTAAGGATTGGTATAATGCCTGTTTACTGGAAGTTTATACTTTTAAATGATGTTTCAAAAATAGTTGTATACCTTTATATTTACCTCAAAGTGCTCCAAGGGACTAGTAAAATTGATGCTGAGGCAGTGATCAATTTTATGCATGCATTGAAAAGGAGATGACTGAGCTCAACTTCCTATTTGATACAAAATATGTCTCATAAAACAACCTATTATAAACATTTTTTAGCATTGAGTATCAAATAGTACATGTCTACACAGTATAAGTTGTTCTCAAGAAAAAGAGAGACAAATCTTGCTTAAAAAAGTGCTTGATGCATTTTTTGGCCTCAAAAACTGGGAAGGGGGGGTGTTTGCTCTAGTAGATCACATCATTTTTTGCAAGCACGACATGAAATACAGTACATGATATTTTAAGAGTGTTTCTTCATTTGTTTATTTTTTTTAAATGTCAATATTTTACTGGTTGAAAGGAAAGAAGTACTTTACAGTAGATAATTTGTGAGATTAAATAGTCTACAACCACCCATGCATCTAAAAATATAACGGATGAGGACAACCACCCATGCAAATTTAATTGCACCAGTCCCCATTACCCATACAAAAATATATGAAGTGCCATCCAACCCTCCCAAACATTTTTTTCTGGAGTAGCCTTAAATCACTCTATTTTTATGTAATTTTGCGAAATCATCTGCTTATTACAATTTCTTCTCACATATATAATACTTCCATCAAAGATTATGCACCAAAAACACTAGAAAAATTGTGAAATATTTTGTTTCACATATTAAAAAAAAAAACAACATAGCAAAAAGGAAGTTGTCACAAAAATGAATTGATCTACAATTATAGGTGCAAGTATTTCTTTTAAAAAGTTGAATATTTATTTAATGTTCAGGAGTCGGAGGCACCAAAGTCCTCTAAGCCTGAGTCAGAAGTCACGCTGGACATTGTTCCAGAGGACAATAAATTCCTACGAGTCAAACGTCTGGAGGAGCAGGGCAGACAGATGTTTGAAACACTTCTACAGTTCCAAGCCTCGCCTCACATTTCAAGGTAAATATTACTAAATACTAGTGATGGGAAATCGGCATTTTTTTCATAATTGGTCATCAAAATAATCGGAATGACGGATACACTATAATTGATTAATAATCGATTGATATAATCAAATCACAGCTAATAAATCCATTTACATATATATCTTCATGATCTTATCAAAGAATCCATAACATGGTGAAAAGATATAATAGATCATTAAAAAATAATACTTGTGATGTACATGTACATTGATCAAAACATGGAGCTAAAAAATACTTCATGTTTATTTCCTTAGTAATTATTGTGTAGCTTTGAATCTTCCTTTCAGCATTAATCTGATGACTGTTATGGGGAGCTTGACCACCATTGCACGACAGAGGCCTGTCTTCTTTGGAAAAGTTGTCCAGTCTTTTGAGACACTGCAGGGTAAGGTATTTAAACATGAGAACAGATTATGTTCAGAAGCTTATACATGTAAATTAGACTAGTGAAGATATGTAATTCAGTGGTCCAAAATACATTTTCTGGTACAGGTTCATCTCTTTTGCATAGTATATCCTGCATGTTTAACTGAAAGTCTCTTTGTTTAAGAACTACATGTATTATGATTAATAAGATTTTTTTTATGCATCAGTCAATCTGCCACCGACCCTGGCTAAGTCCCAGGTGAGCAGTGTTCGTAAGAATATGAAGATGCACATGTTGTCTCTGCTAAAACACAAGGCCTCCGTGGATTACATCACTCAGATCACCACCTTACTGACAGACCTAGGGGCCACAAACTCCGAGGTAAGGTCACCAGGAAAATAAACAAAAGGGGGAGGGGAACTAATCACTCAGATCACCACCTTACTGACAGACTTAGGGGCCACAAACTCTGAGGTAAGGTCACCAGGGAAAATAAACAAAAGGGGGGAGGGGGGACTACATCACTCAGATCACCACCTTACTGACAGATCTAGGGGCCACGAACTCGGAGAAGGTCACCAGGAAAATAAACAAGAGGGGAGGGGGGGACTACATCACTCAGATCACCACCTTACTGACAGACCTAGGGGCAACAAACTCTGTGGTAAAGTCACCAGGAAAATAAACAATGGGGGGGGGGACTACATCACTCAGACCACCACCCTACTGACAGACTTAGGGGCCACAAACTCGGAGGTAAGGTCACCAGGAAATTAAACAAAAAGGGGGGAGGGGGCATTATCTGAATAATCAAACTATTAAATCTTTGTCACTGAAATATTTGATTGAAAATGCATATCAAAAATTGTTTGTGTTTTTTTAAGGAACATTTTATTTATACTTTTTCTTTTTTTAGGTGATGAAGAGCATGCCAAAGATAGACGAAAGCAGGAAGAGAAAGGCAGAGGAGGCAGGGGGATCAATGAAGAAAGCCAAGACCGAGACAGAGGTATTTCTTGCTGAAGCTTTTTATTACCTTGTGTTCTGAAGTACATTACAAGGTGTACACGTAAAAAAAACCAATAAATCTGACCTGTTAATGTCTGTACTGTTTGTAGATTGAGTTGGATGACGATGATGCTGGTATGACTCCGTTTGTGGATCGCTCTAAAGTTAAAGCACCAGCCACGTTAAAACAGAGACAGACGGCTGTAGACATCACCGCGGAGGACATAATCCCCCGCCTGACCCCCCAGAATGTCGCTGATCTCGTTCTTATTAGCATGGTGAGTATAGCATGGCAATATGGTAAATCAGATAGTGTGTGTATGTGAAGGAATACAGTGTCATAGGTTATTAACATTATTGTATAAAGGAATATTTTTGCCCACTGTTTTATTTTCGCCTCTTTTGCTCTATCCTCATTTTGGCAAAATTAAAATAGGCTGAATTTAAAGAATAAGTACAATTTCTTAAAGATAACTGTGACTGGGCGAATTTAAGATGGGGCATAATTGTTTGCAATCGAAAAAAGGCCAAAATAAATCAGGGCAAAATACAGCTGTATACAGTATATAGAAATCTGAGCATTCTTTATTTGTAGGTGATGTTGCCAGACCAGTTACCTCCTCACTTCCAGGCGACCTACACACCTATAGCTGCTGCTGGCACGGAGGGTCAAATTAAACACATGGGAAGACTTCTAGCCAATCAGCTTACTGCTGCAGGAATGGGCAAGGGAATTGCAGAAGTCCAGATTGAGGTGCGAATTATTATGCTTTTGATAGGGACCAGAAGTCATGTAAAGTAAATAATATCTTTATAAATATCATTTAGGAGCATTAATCTTAAACTTAGCATTAACGGTTAGAAAATGATATAATTTCTTAAGTTGAGTATAATAACACTGTGTTTTGCTAAAATAAATAGTGAAGTTGGTGTAATCCTGATTTGTTGAAGCTCAACACACATAGTTAAAAAAATGTTTATAAAAAAAATACATGGTAGAAAAAGCAATTTATTTTGTGCACAGTTTTATTTTGCATTGTTGTTCTTGCAGACACTTTCAGAATAACATTTACTTGTAGGAGGCATCAGAAGAAGATGGAGGTGCATCTCCTGAGTATCAGCCCACATCCCCTAAACAGGTCATACAGACAGTTGTAGGTAGGTCGATATCTCCCTAGTATCAGCCCACATCCCCTAATCAGGTCATACAGACAGTTGTAGGTAGGTCAGTATCTCCCTAGTATCAGCCTACATCCCCTAAACAGGTCATACAGACAGTTGTAGGTGGTCGATATCTCCCTAGTATCAGCCTACATCCCCTAAACAGGTCATACATACAGTTGTAGGTAGGTCAATATCTCCCTAGTATCAGCCCACATCCCCTAAACAGGTCATACAGACAGTTGTAGGTAGGTCAGTATCTCCCTAGTATCAGCCCACATCCTCTAAACAGGTCATACATACAGTTGTAGGTGGTCGATATCTCCCTAGTATCAGCCCACATCCCCATAACAGGTCATACAGACAGTTGTAGGTAGGTCAATATCTCCCTAGTATCAGCCTACATCCTCTAAACAGGTCATACATACAGTTGTAGGTGGTCGATATCTCCCTAGTATCAGCCCAAATCCGCTAAACAGGTCATACAGACAGTTGTAGGTAGGTCGATATCTCCCTAGTATCAGCCCACATCCCCTAAACAGGTCATACAGACAGTTGTAGGTAGGTCAATATCTCCCTAGTATCAGCCTACATCCTCTAAACAGGTCATACATACAGTTGTAGGTAGGTCGATATCTCCCTAGTATCAGCCTACATCCTCTAAACAGGTCATACATACAGTTGTAGGTAGGTCGATATCTCCCTAGTATCAGCCTACATCCTCTAAACAGGTCATACAGACAGTTTTAGGTCGATATCTCCCTAGTATCAGCCTACATCCTCTAAACAGGTCATACAGACAGTTGTAGGTAGGTCGATATCTCCCTAGTATCAGCCTACATCCTCTAAACAGGTCATACAGACAGTTGTAGGTAGGTCGATATCTCCCTAGTATCAGCCCACATCCCCATAACAGGTCATACAGACAGTTGTAGGTAGGTCGATATCTCCCTAGTATCAGCCTACATCCTCTAAACAGGTCATACAGACAGTTGTAGGTAGGTCGATATCTCCCTAGTATCAGCCTACATCCTCTAAACAGGTCATACAGACAGTTGTAGGTAGGTCGATATTTCCCTAGTATCAGCCCACATCCCCTAAACAGGACATACAGACAGTTGTAGGTAGGTCAGTATCTCCCTAGTATCAGCCCACATCCCCTAAACAGGTCATACAGACATTTGTAGGTCGATATCTCGCTAGTATCAGCCCACATCCCCTAAACAGGTCATACAGACAGTTGTAGGTAGGTCGATATCTCCCTAGTATCAGCCCACATCCCCTAAACAGGTCATACAGACAGTTGTAGGTAGGTCGATATCTCCCTAGTATCAGCCTACATCCTCTAAACAGGTCATACAGACAGTTGTAGGTAGGTCGATATCTCCCTAGTATCAGCCTACATCCTCTAAACAGGTCATACAGACAGTTGTAGGTAGGTCGATATTTCCCTAGTATCAGCCCACATCCCCTAAACAGGACATACAGACAGTTGTAGGTAGGTCGTCGATATTTCCCTAGTATCAGCTCACATCCCCTAAACAGGTCATACAGACAGTTGTAGGTCAATATCACCCCAGTATCAGCCCACATCCCCTAAACAGGTCATACAGACAGTTGTAGGTAGGTCGATATCTCCCTAGTATCAGCCCACATCCCCTAAACAGGTCATACAGACAGTTGTAGGTAGGGGTTAGTTAATGTAACAAATATAAGTTTATGTATATGTTTCCTTATACATAGGTAGGCATCAATTAGGCAGAAAAGCTGGGAGCTAAGTCCTGTAAAAGTTTATGAATCTTCTGTTATTTTATGTTGATGTTGATACAGTGATTGATATTCCTGTACTTTTTGTTGTGTAGGGGGGCACACAGAGCCGCAGGCAGCAGCTTTCTCTAAGTCAGCCAGTTTACCAGCCCCTGTACGTGAGAATGTTTTATCTCCTTCTATTTACTGAGAAACCAATTTACTTAAATTTTGAAAGTAAATGTTTAAATAAACTTGTATTAGTAGTAAAAACAAGTGTTGTACATCAACAATTTACTTCCTTCATTTTATTAACAGTATTTCCCCCCTAATAATAACAATATAGTGTTGCATTGTACATGGAGAGTTGGTCATTTTAGCAAATCCGACCTGTGAGGGGAGGGATTAAACAGTTCAAACTGTCCACAGTGACCACAGATCTGGACAGGGACCGACTGGATGAAATGACCATTGCATCAGTCAGAAGAATACTAGAAGCAGAGAGTAAGGGGAAATTAATTAATAAAAATTATTTAATACTAGAATTGCTGGTAGTTGACTGTTTTTTTTAAATGGCTGTCTTTATTCCTTCCAGAAAGTGCATCATTAGGCAATGCCCTTCCAGCCAGAACCAAATTATTAACAAGTCTGGTATCCCAGTTTGGGGGAGAGCTGAAAAATTGTAAGTATCTTTCTAGTTGAGTGTTATTATTGAGTACAGTTGAACTTCGGTATCTTGAACTCTGATATATGTAAAATCCCATGGATATGGCAAAGTGATTTGAAAGTCCCAACCAATATGTTCTTTTTGTACATGAATTTTACCCTCAATATCTTTGAAATCTTGAAGTTTTTAGCTCACCTGAGCCGAAGGCTCAAGTGAGCTTTTCTGATCAAAATTTGTCTGTTGTCTGTCGTTGTCGTCGTCGTAAACTTTTTACATTTTCATCTTTTTCTCAAGAACCACTGGGCCAATTTCAACCAAACTTGCTACAAAGTATCCTTTGGTAAAGGGGATTCAAGTTTGTTCAAATGAAGGGCCATGTCCTTTTCCAAGGGGAGATAATTATGAATTAGAGAAAAATTAATGGCATTATTAAAAAATCTTCTTCTCAAGAACCACTGGGCCAGGAAAGATGAAACTCATATGGAAACATCCTCAGGTAGTGTAGATTCAAGTTTGTTCAAATCATGACCCCCGGGGCTAGGGTGGGGCCAAAATGGCCGACCCAAGTTTTACATCGGAATATATAGGAAAATCTTTAAAAATCTTCTTCTCAAGAACCACTGGACCAGGAAAGATGAAACTCACGTGGAATCATTCACAGGTAGTGTAGATTCAAGTTTGTTCAAATCATGACCCCCGGGCTAGGGTGGGGCCAAAATGGCCGACCCAAGTTTTACATAGGAATATATATAGGAAAAATCTTTAAAAATCTTCTTCTCAAGAACCACTGGATTAGGAAAGATGAAACTCATGTAGAATTATCCTCAGGTAGTGTAGATTGAAATTTGTTCAAATCATGACCCCCGGGGCTAGGGTGGGGCCAAAATGGACGACCCAAGTTTTACATAGGAATATATATAGGAAAAATCTTTAAAAATCTTCTTCTCAAGAACCACTGGGCCAGAAAAGATAAAACTCATGTAAAATTATCCTCAGGTAGTGTAGACTCAAATTTGTTCAAATCATCACCCCTGGGGCTAGGGTGGGGCCAAAATGGCAAATCAAAGTTTTACATAGGAATATATATGAAAAATCTTTAAAAATCTTCTTCTCAAGAAACACTGGGCCAGGAAAGATGAAACTCGTGTGGAATCATCCTCAGGTAGTGTAGATTCAAGTTTGTTCAAATCATGACCCCCGGGGCTAGGGTGGGGCCAAAATGGCCGACCTAAGTTTTACATAGTGATATATAGGGATACCTTTTAAAATCTTTTCAAGTACTTCAAATCCATGATGATTAGTGATATTTATATGGAATCATCCTCAGGTAGTGTAGATTCTAGTTTGTTCAAATCATGAATCCCTGGGGAGGGGGTTAAAATTCAAACCCACCACCTCAGTAAACTTTCAGTTCTGATCTGATATGTGCTTTTTCCTAGCGGATGTGCTCAGGTGAGCGCTGTGGCCCCTGGGCCTCTTGTTTATTGTTCCGTTGATTTTGAACCGAGTAAATTTGACTGCAGTGGACCTTCAGATATGCGAAGCGGAATTTTATCTTGTTTAACTGGTGATTCAGGTATCCGGACAAATTGACTAGGAACCAAAGCGTCCAGATAAATGAGGCTCCACTGTCCATGTATATGATATAAATCACAGACTATCATTTTCCATCTTGTTTGTGTTGTAGTATTACAAGAGTACATATTTGAGGACCTTCGTAACCGCGCTGACGTAGCTTTCGCTTGGCTGTATCAGGAATACGCTAATTGTCAGGGATTCTGTGCCTCCAGCCTGAGAAATGAACGCTCGTCCATGGCCAGCTATGATGAATGCTTGACCAGACTTTTATCAGGATTACTGGAACGGACAGAACTGACCACCAAGGAAGGGTATGTCTAGAATACAAAGGAAAGCTATAGAGTACATTTGTATTATACACTGCACAAAAGAAAGGAAAAGGGTTTTACATGTAATTAGTGAAAATTATAGATTCTTACTCAATTTTATTTTTATGTGTTGGATTTTTGAAGATTATTTCATCGTTTGATTTTGGAGGCCCCAGCTATCACAGACAATGCTATTCAGATTCTCAAGAAATACTGCATGGATAAGGTATATATAGAAAAAGAGTTCTAAAAATATTGATAAGTATTTATAATAAACTATTGTCTATGCTTGTATTAATGTATTATAGACAATAAAATTATATTTCTTCCAAAATACATGTAACACAGAATATTTAAATATTTTTGACAAATATTTAAATGAATTATGAATAAAGTACTGTAACCCAACTTTTATTCGCGTGCGAGAAATTTTCGCGAGGTTCGCGAGAGCCTGGTTATCGCGAATATTTCTCGCCGCGAACGGGTCCCTAAAGTCTCTTTATCTATAAAAAACAGTTTCAAAAACAACTTGATCGCGAAACTTTATCATCGCGAACTAGTTTACTCCCGGTAAATCGCGAAATAAAGTCGTCGCGAATAAAAGTTGGTTTACAGTAAATTGAAATAATTTAGTACGTTGTATTTCATGAAGTTTGCTGCAATGGAATTAATTGTTCTACATGGACAACTTTTTTGTTACACGGTATACATGTATATATATTTTACATGTATTCTGGATATTTTCAGCTCAAAATTTATCCTGTAGAAATTCAAACATGTAAAATTGCATCAATTTACACATCAAGTAGAGGCCTAGATATCTTTATTCCATTTATCTGCTTGTCACAGGACCGCGTGGTGAGTGGGATTAACACTATTCGTCAGCTGATTTTGACCCGCCCCGCCCACAGACTGAGGTACCTTGAGGTGTTACTGATGTCCTGTCACCATGACATGCCAGAAGTAAGGGCCACGGCCATCCACTGTAGTAAACAACTGTATGAGAAGGGGCACATCAGGCCCTATATAGAGGTCAGTATACAAAACAAAGCCCTGAGTCACATCAGGCCCTATATAGAGGTCAGTATACAAAACAAAGCCCTGAGTCACATCAGGCCCTATATAGAGATCAGTATACAAAACAAAGCCCTGAGTCACATCAGGCCCTATATAGAGATCAGTATACAAAACAAAGCCCTGAGTCACATCAGGCCCTATATAGAGATCAGTATGCAAAACAAAGCCCTGAGTCACATCAGGCCCTATATAGAGGTCAGTATGCAAAACAAAGCCCTGAGTCACATCAGGCCCTATATAGAGGTCAGTATGCAAAACAAAGCCCTGAGTCACATCAGGCCCTATATAGAGGTCAGTATACAAAACAAAGCCCTGAGTCACATCAGGCCCTATATAGAGATCAGTATACAAAACAAAGCCCTGAGTCACATCAGGCCCTATATAGAGGTCAGTATGCAAAACAAAGCCCTGAGTCACATCAGGCCCTATATAGAGGTCAGTATGCAAAACAAAGCTCAGAGTCACGTCAGGCCCTATATAGAGATCAGTATACAAAACAAAGCCCTGAGTCACATCAGGCCCTATATAGAGGTCAGTATGCAAAACAAAGCCCTGAGTCACATCAGGCCCTATATAGAGGTCAGTATGCAAAACAAAGCTCAGAGTCACGTCAGGCCCTATATAGAGGTCAATAACACATCAGGCCCTATATAGAGGTCAATAACACATCAGGCCCTATATAGAGGTCAGTATCACATCAGGCCCTATATAGAGGTCAGCGTACAAATCTTTTCTAAAGATTGCCCAACATCAAGATCAGTATTGTATACTGGGAATTTGTTGCCCCCGTTTTTTTTTTTTTTTTGCCCTACTTGCTAGTGGCCTAATTTAAGGAAATGTTTCAGTTTTGCACTTTTTATAAGCTTTATTTACCTTCAATGGTGTCTTTTAAAATATATGTTTGGAACTGACTGCGAGTAAAAATTAATGCATAGCTTTAAGAATTATGCCAGTTTGATTCATAATGCACACATTTTTTCCAGCAATATGCCACAAAGATGTTAAAGAATCTCCTATTAACAAAGCCACCAACAGAAATGCTAGGAAAAAGTAAGAGTAAGTATGAAACGTTTGCCTCCAAGAGTTTATATAATTAGGGCCCCGCCCTGTGGTGATCAGTCTGTCCGTCCGTCAGTCTGTCCATCCGAGATCTCTTGTCCGGAGCATATCTTCTCTCTCCTTGGCCCAATCTGGCTCATACTTCACCCACGGAGTGCCTTTGGGTAACCGGTGTGCAGTGATCTTGAACCATGTTTCTAGGTCAAAGGTCAAGGTCATAGCAGAATTATGTTAAAATTCTTGTTTGGAGCATATTTTCTCTCCTGTTAGTCCAATGATGCTCATACCTTACTCACAGAGTGCTAGTGTTGTAAAATCGGACATATTTTACTATCGATTATCAAATTGAATCGGAAGAACACAATCGATTACATAATCGATAATTTGAACTATTAAAAAGGTTAAATTTATTAATTCAGCACGAGTAGAATTCGATGACATTTGACCGCGAACTTCAACTTATCTTTATTGGCAGACGACATTTTACACAATTTACAAATAATCGAGTCCATCTGTATATTATTTTTGCATGGAGGCCCATCGCCCTTTTTCAGAAAGCCAAAAAAATTCGAACTTTAGATCGTATTGCACCAGGATATTGATATAATTAGGCGTCAACCTCTTCAACATGCACGTTTGCCATTTTGTTTACCGCCGATTAGAGTGACTTCCCTTTGGTGAATATAAAAGTTGAACCTGATCGGCTTAAAAAATACGACATGAAAAATATAGCGATCTATCGATAATAATATTTACAATCGATTGTCGCCGACCTGGGCCTTTTAACGACGATTTTTCGATAGTCGGCAACTATCGTAACAACACTACAGAGTGCCTTTGGTCAGTGAATGTGCAAGGACCTTGAACAAAGTTTTTAGGTCAAGGGTCAAGGTAAAAAATAGTCTCACTTTTTAAAGTCTTTGTTCGCTGCATAATTTCTTTCCCTTAAGTCCACTCAGCCTCAAACAAATTGACTGGATATGGAACATTTGTGAGTTTCCTTCCATATTATGAAAGAGGATATGCAACAATTTTCATAGATAATACATTTCTAAAAGTTTTTAGCTCACCTGAGCCGAAGGCTCAAGTGAGCTTTTCTGATCACATTTTGTCCGTCGTCCGTCCGTCTGTCTGTCCGTCCGTCTGTAAACTTTTCACATTTTTTACTTCTTCTCAAGAACCAATGGGCCAATTTTAACCAAACTTAGTACAAAGCATCCTTGGGTGAAGGGGAGTAGAAATTATAAAAATGAAGGGCCAAGTCCCCTTACAAGGGGAGATAATCAAGAAAAGACAAAAATAGGGTGGGGTCACTAAAAAATCTTCTTCTCAAGAACCACTGGGCCAGGAAAGCTGAAACTTATGTGGAAGCATCCTTGGGTAGTGTAGATATTAAATTGTTAAAATCATGACCCCCGGGGGTAGGGCGGGGCCACAATGGGGAATCCAAGTTTTACATAGAAATATATAGAACAAATTGACAATTAAATATTTGGAAATGAGAATGTCTTTAAAAATCTCCTTCTCAAGAACCACTGGGCCAGGAAAGCTGAAACTTATGTGGAAGCATCCTTGGGTAGTGTAGATATTAAATTGTTAAAATCATGACCCCTGGGGGTGGGGCGGGGCCACAATAGGGAATCCAAGTTTTACATAGAAATATATAGAACAAATCTTTAAAAATCTTCTTCTCAAGAACCACTGGGCCAGGAAAGCTGAAACTTATGTGGAAGCATCCTTGGGTAGTGAAGATATTAAATTGTTAAAATCATGACCCCCGGGGGTAGGGCGGGGCCACAATGGGGAATCCAAGTTTTACATAGAAATATATAGAACAAATCTTTAAAAATCTTCTTCTCATGAACCACTGGGCCAGGAAAGCTGAAACTTATGTGGAAGCATCCTTGGGTAGTGTAGATATTAAATTGTTAAAATCATGACCCCCGGGGTAAGGGCAGGGCCACAATAGGGAATCCAAGTTTTACATAGAAATATAAAGAACAAATCTTTAAAAATCTTCTTCTCAAGAACAACTGGGCCAGAAAAGCTGAAACTTATGTGGAAGCATCCTCGGGTAGTGTAGATTCTAAAGTTTTAAAATAAAAAAGGGAAGGGGGTTATTGGGCATGATAGGTATAGCAAGAGGGGGAATCTGGTAAAGATCTGCATCACCCAAGTTACTCAGGTGAGCGATGTGGCCCATGGGCCTCTTGTTTAATTGTATTATTTTTCAGGGAGTAATACTTTTTGTCCCCTTTAATCTCAAACACCTTTAAAAAAACCTTTTCAGCTACGTTACATTTTCATGTTCATTGCTAAAAGCGGGGCCCTTTGAGATGGCCACCATCTCAATGATATCTAGTTATTTCTGAAAATTGTTACTTATAAATGTGTGTGACTGTGTGGCATAATTTAAAGTTACTATGGAGTATGGATAAATTTTATTGACACTAGCTTGAACGTTGTGACATTTGAAGCTCAATATTGGGATTTCAGAAAACTATTTATTACCATAAAATGATATTTGCATTAGTTCTTTGTGGAGTAAAATAATTTGAATAATCTGCTGTCTCCTAGAGTATCAAACATTCAAAACATACTACATGTAGATCAGCTTTTGGATATGGGTTTATATCTTAAACACTTTTAAACGCCTCTTTAATACATTGTAGATGACCCCGCCTTACAAGCCTGGACAGAAGACACCATTAAGATGTGTTTATACCTTTACCTGGGTCTGTTGCCTAGCAACCATAAACTAATCCACCAGTGAGTATAACCTTTGTGATAATTGGCATATTGTATGTCCTTACTAAGGTCATGGTCAAGGGCAGGCAACAGCATCTTCAGCTTTTACTTCACTTAAGTTTTAACTACATGTATGTATAATACATGTATTTTAATGTAAATTTTTAGCTCAACTCGACGAAGTCGAGATAAGCTTATGCTATACCCCAGGTGTCGGCGTTGGTGTTAGCGTCGGCGTTCTGGTTAAAGTTTTAGGAGCAGGTCCATTCCCAAGTAACTATAAGCCCTGCCTGGACCAAACTTGCATGGATGATGCATCTAGGGATTGACGCTACCAGACTTGCTTCGGATGCTGGATCTGACCTACATTTTCCAGATTAGTGACTAGGTTATTCCCAAAAACTATAAGTCCTACCCGGACCGAACTTGCATGGATGATGCATCTAGGGATAGACAATCGAAACTTGCTTCAGATGCTGGATCTGACCTACATTTTCCAAAGAAGTGTGAGGTTAAAATTTTTGGAACGGGTCATTCCCCAATGAACTTTAAGACCTATTTAAACAGAACTTGCTTGAATATTGTTGTCAGAACAAATACTAAATGTTAAGAAAACATGATGCAAGATATGCATTACTTAAACTAATAACATTTGTTGAGGTGAGCTTTGTAATCTTTGATTACCTATGTTTTTTAAAAATTTTTGGATAAAGTGAATTGACAATTAAATATTTGGATATGAGATAGCGTAATACTTTCCTGGTTTTAGGTTGGCCATGGTGTACACATCAGCTGGAGCCGACATCAAAAGGATCATCCTCAGAGCACTGGAGAATCCTGTAAGTATAAAAACCGTAATTACTCTCAGGGCACTGGAGAATCCTGTAAGTATAAAAACCGTAATTACTCTCAGGGCACTGGAGAATCCTGTAAGTATAATGACCATAATTACTCTCAGGGCACTGGAGAATCCCATAAGTATAATGACTGTGAGGGTTAGGTATAATTACTCTCAGGGCAATGGAGAATCCCGTAAGTATAATGACCATAATTACTCTGAGGGCACTGGAGAATCCCGTAAGTAGAATGATCGTAATTACTCTCAGGGCACTGGAGAATCCGGTAAGTAGAATGATCGTAATTACTCTCAGGGCACTGGAGAATCCCGTAAATAGAATGATCGTAATTACTCTCAGAGCACTTGAGAATACCATAAGTACAGTATAATGACCGTTTGGGCTCAAGGAATCTCCTAGGTATAATTACTCTCAGGGCACTGGAGAATCCAGTGAATAGAATGACTGTGAGGGTTAGGCATAATTACTCTCAGGGCAATGGAGAATCCCTCAAACCATCAATTTGCGTGAATATGGAGTAATCATGAACGGGTCTGAGGAGAATCCCATAAGTATTCAGAAGCCATTCTAAGTCTCAAGTATAGAGTATTGTATGGATTTTATGTAATTAAAAATATCTATAGATACTTAAAGAATATTGAAAACTTTTTAAAAAAATGTAATACAGTATATTTGAGCTTCTGTATTTTTAGGTGAAGGGTATGGGAATGAAGTCACCTGAGCTGTTGACATTAGTGGAAAGTTGTCCAAAGGGAGCTGAAACACTGGTGACTAGAGTCATACACATCCTAACCGATAAAGGTATGTAACATCTTGTCCAGGTAAAGGTATGGTAAAAATATATATCCTGACAGATAAAGAGATGATAAAATCAGATCATTTCTACCTTATAGCTCTCTCCATATCCAAGAGGATGCAAGAGGCCTTTCCATCAATGTATAATTAAAATTTGAATGTTATACCTTTACCTGTATTTCTAGCTTCGCCCTCACCTGAGCTGGTAGAGAGAGTTTGTGACCTTTATCACAAACGTGTACCTGAATTATAACACCTTTACCGGTACTTGTATTTCTAGCCTCGCCCTCACCTGAGCTGGTAGAGAGAGTTCGTGACCTTTATCACAAACGTGTACCTGATGTCAGATTCCTCATACCTGTTCTCACTGGACTTTCTAAGGTAAAGGGAAATAACTTTGGCTAATATTCTACTTGAAACAATAGATTTAAAGTGAAATATAATTTCAAATTTTCTATTCACAAGAACTTTTGAAATATGAGACAACTCACGAACATTTAATCCCCTCATATATTTGTACTGCTTCAGATTTTGAAGAACAATAGTTATATGTGTATGTTATGATAACTTTGGCTTATTTTACCAAATGAGTGCTTTACTATGTCAAAAAGAAAGTTATCATTAGTTTCTAATGATCTACAGCAGGTGACTGAATCAAGGGTAAATTACTAAAGGTTAGATGATTTTAACTTAGAATTCTTTTAAAAGTAAAAGATAGAAAATTTGATAATAGCATGTAATGAAGAGAATGTTTTTGTGTCTTTGATTCAGGATGAAGTGATACAAGCCCTGCCTAAGTTAATCAAGTTAAACCCGATTGTTGTAAAAGAGGTGTTTAACCGACTCCTGGGGGGTCACAGCGACGCTAACTACACCTCCCCCCTTACCCCCGTGGATCTATTAATAGCTCTACACAACATTGACCCAGCCAAGTGTGACATGAAGACCATCATTAAAGGTGGGCGGAACTTCCTGTTATGATCAACTTCCTGTTATGATCAACTTCCTGTTGTCAAATTTATTTAGCGTAAAAAGAGATTATACAAAGAAAAATTATTCTTGGATTTTCTGGACAAAATTTCTGTCAGGCATTTCAAAATACAATGTATGATCTGCCAGACACATGGTGTTAGAGAGTAACACCCCTTTAAGTGTGTCCATGGTTTTTTTTTCCTTCCAGCCACAAACCTGTGCTTCAGTGAGAAGAACATTTACACCCAGGAGGTGCTGGCGGTGGTGATGAAGACTCTGATGGAACAGGACCCCCTCCCCACTCTGTTTATGAGGACGGTCCTACAGTCCCTCTCCATGTACCCCCGACTGATGGGATTTATCCTCAATATCCTCCAGAGGCTCATCGCTAAAGAGGTAACAGTCAGAGGCCCTCTCCTGGTCATGTATTGTCCTCATTGAAGGACTAACACAAAAGAACATATATACATGAGATGAGAATACTTTTAGTTCCTTTGTGTAGCAATGGCTTCTGCAGTTTTCAAAAAAAAAAAAGAGTTTTAAAAAAATTCAGCTTTTGTTTGAAGTAAAGTTTATGAACACAGGTCCTTCAGGATAGAGGAATTTTCTCATTTTGGGTATATGTTTGAATTAAAAAAAAAAACTGTAAATTCAGAAAACATTAATGTAAGATGAATTTGATATGCTGAAGCAAAACAAAGAATTCTTACCAGTAGTTAAATAATTAATATTTGCATCAGAAATAGTGCAGTATTGCAGCAGTTGTTTTTATATTCAGGGGTTAATTATTTGAATGTAAAAGCTTCTCACTTTAGAATACCCACAATACACTGTGGATAATAATGACACTGCCCTGTTGTCTGTAGGTCTGGAAGAACAAGAAGGTCTGGGAAGGTTTTATTCGCTGTTGTCAGAAGATGAAGCCACAGTCCTTCGCTGTTTTACTCCAGTTAAAAGCTCCTCAGCTAAAGAGTGTGTTTGAGAGTTGTCCAGACCTGAGAGAACCGCTACTGAACCATGTCAACTCCTTCGCTCCAAACCAGGTCTGCTTTTATTGACATTTCCATTTGACTTCTTGTATTGGATTTTTCAAATATGCCATTTAAAACTTTTTACCAATATGAGCTAAGAAATATTACAGCAATTTTGTATGGTGTCATTTCAGAAAGCTCACCTGCCTAAATCTGTGTTAGCTGTATTGGAGAATCCTCCAGAAGTGACCCCGATTCCTCCCCAGGCTGAGGTGGCACCCCCCACCCCCACCCCCCTCACCCCCACAGTTGTAACACCACAGGTGACCACAGTGAAGGTCGAGAACACCACGGTACCCATGGAGACCCAGACCATACAAACTGTCCAGTCCATACAGACCATAGGATCAAACTTGGTCCAAGTAAGTTAACACGACTGAATATTGCACTCAAATAAAATCTGTTGACATAAAATAATGTTTGTTCTTCAGGATTACTGTAAACCAACTTTTATTCGCGTGCGAGAAATTTTTGCGAGAGCCTCGTCATCATGAATATTACTCGCCGCAAACTGGTCCTTAAAGGCTTGATCGCAAAAATTAATCGTTGTGAAGTATTTTACCCCCGGTATATCGTGTCGCGAATGAAAGTTGTTTTACAGTAATTTGGAGAAAGTTGTTTACAAGTATATTAAGCTGAAGAAGTCTAGTTGTAAAATTGTAAAAAAAGGGGGCACAACTATCTTGATACAGCAAAACTATAACGAAGTCACTGGGACCTATGAAATTACTTCGCTATATCTGTAATTTGTTATAACCATATTCGTAACGAATAAGAAATAAGAAATTTATTAAATTTATATAGCTGGGTATTCAAGATGACTTCGCTATATCCGTGAATTCGCCATTATCCGTGTTCATACTAAATGAGTTTTGCTGTAGCGTGAATATAACAAAATTAAGGAGCACATTTGTTTTATTCTTCTTAAGGTGAAACAAGAGCCCCCAGACCCAGAAGAAATAGCGAGACAAGCAACAGAAAACAGAGAGACGCAGGAATCACAGGCCAGAAGTTCACCGGAGAAAGACAGAAAGGAAACACCAGTCAGGAGGAAATCAAAACGGTCAACAGAGGTTGGTAACTGGGCCAATGATAAAGAGTAATTGGGCCTTGAGGCAAAATAGTAGTGGGCAAGTGTGCCTTCATGATAAGTCATTTGGATGGGATAGCTTTTTCCTGAATTTTATCTCGTTATCTCGCTGTAAGGTATTGTATATCATTAACTAACTGTAAGATGATGTATCTCATTATCTCACTGTTGGATAATGTATCTCGTTTTCTCACTGTAGGATAATGTATCTCGTTATCTCACTGTAGGATAATGTATCTCATTATCTCACTGTAGGATAATGTATCTCATTATCTCACTTTTGGATATTATGTTCTGTTATCTCACTGTAGGATAATGTATCTCATTATCTCGCTGTCGGATAATGTATCTCGTTAACTCGCTGTAGGATTATGTATTTCATTATCTCGCTGTAGGATATTGTATCTCATCATCTCATTGTAAGATAATGTATCTCATTATGTCACTCTAGGATAATGTATCTCATTATCTTGCTGTAGGATATTGTATCTCATGTCATTGTAGAATAATCTATATCATTATCTCGCTGTAGGATAATGCTGATGCTGAGATGGAGGAAGCCGACTCGCCGGAGAATGCCCTTGCTATTGCTGAGGAAGCCATGGATACATCACTAAATGAGTCGCAAGATCAGGTACATGTGTGTGGATAATGCTTGGAAAACACGTTCTACAGTTGTGTTTTCTCTGTGGAACATAGAAATATGCAACACTTGTGTCTTTATTAGGTTCAGTAGAAATGTCAAACACTGTAAATGTATTGTATTTAGCGTGTACGATATTTTGCGGAAATTGATTTTTGAACATTTTAGCGTAGATTTGATTTAGCAGATATCTTAATGTTCTTATTTATGTGTATAATTGCAAAACATTTAGCGTTGTACTTGAATTAGCAGAAGTTCCTTTTCGCCAAAAGCGCTAAAAAGAATACACAGCCAAATGTAATACTTTTATAGTATCATGTCAAAACATTTTAAAATATGCAAATGCAAATTTTGCATCTTCTCTGGACATGAGAGAATCTTCAAAACTTTACAAATCAAATCAAAAAAACCTTTTATTTATTAAAGCAATATGAGCTGCATTTTGGAGAAATTAATTTTGCTGTCAAAATAGGCTATTATGATAAATCTGTATGATTGTAATATGAACCATTATGTTATATTTCCATTTCTAATTTTTTTCTCTGCGATAACTCTTTGAAAGTTGTCGGAGTTTATTTCTTGATAATTCTGCCGGAATGTAAATTAGGCAGGTCGATTGGTCAGGAGCTTAGGAGGCCTATAATGCATGCAAATCTCGTGTGCATCTGTCTCTATGTCTGACGCTAAGGTGGCAAAATTTGCATGTAAATCTCGTGCAGCTGCCTAGGTGTTTGACGTCATTGGGCGAGGACTATTGAAATTGGCATGGAAGTCCTCGTGTAATTTAAGTCTATGTCTACATTTTTAAAGTCTTAATCTACCATTTTATTTCGCACTGAAATGAAAATATAAGGAATCACTGTCTAATTAGGAGAGTATGTCAAGGACATCAACAATAGTGGGAAACATGGGATAATTTAAGCATTAACGGGCTTTGCCCGTTATTCAAATTATCCCATGTTTCCCACTATTGTTGATGCCCTGGCATACTCTCCTAACTACACAGTGATTCCTTAATAATAAGACTGATATAAAGAATTGTTTTGTTTTCAGAAGAAAGAATTTTACAAAGAAATGTATAGTATTATATAAGAAATCAATATTGTACAGGACGACAATAATGTAATTTTGCTTCAATCAAAGCATATAAATAGTTCTGAAATATAAAGAATAGAAGTTTATAAATGTTCTTTTTTTCTGTCATTTAAATAGTTAATTGCGATATTAGAACAAAAATTTCCGACATCAAACTTGCAGCTCATATTGCTTTAATTCATTATTAAGGTATATGTAATGGATATATGCCGAATACTGTTCTATATGTAAAATTAAGACTGTTTGAGGCCCGTTAGGGCCGAAAACTGTCTGATAATTTTACATATAGAATAGTATGAGGCATATATCTTACTTAAAACATTGCCATTTAAATGTCCAAAAGTTACCTGGAGGAGTCCGATAATAACACAATAGGAGTTTACGCAGCCATTGTTTTCTACCCGTCTGATAAGTAGATAAAAGAAATGAGACAGTAAAGAAAAGTGAGTGAACTCTTGTTCCATTTCACTCATTCAATGGCAGTCGTTTAGTTTAGCAGGACAGGGGTCAGGTGGTGAAAAATTTTTGGGGGAACAATTTTATTTATGATGTGCATAAATTGACATTGATACCGACATAATTTTAGTTGATATTATAACCATCACCATGGAAAGTAAAAATGTGGATTTTTACCCTGAAGTTTTAGTTTAGATAATGGAAATATTCTCAGGTTTTAAAAGTGTGGCCATCGGGGAACAAAATAAGGAGATTTGCAGACTCTTTTGCAGAAATGGATTTAAATTCGCTTATTCAAAGTGCTGTATAAAAAATTCTTTTAAAGAGTGGAAAGTATTAATTTTGTGGAAGGGTAAACTTGGATTTTTTTTGTCATGGATTTGCTTTTTTGTAGCAATTTAATTTCCTTGCGTTTGCTTTCCCAGAATTTGTTTCCTAACATTTTTATTGGGGGGTTCTGGACATATTTAACCTTAATTTCACTCTTCTTTTTGTTTTTTAAATACCGTCCGATTTTGTTATCATTGCCGTCCGATAATATATTATCAGACTGGTAATTATTATTATCGGACGGCTACAGGTAAATTTTTAGACTGCAAGAACAAAGGCATGACGTCACAGCAATGTTTTAACAACATTTATCATACAAGTCAGTTTAAGTAATGATGACAGCTCGGCATTGCGTTTCTTTGTAGTCACAAGACTCTTCAGGAGATGGCCCATCAAAGACAAGTAGGAGCAGATCTAGGTCATCTGAATCTAGGTCATCAGAATCTAGGCCATCCGAAGCCAGGCCCAGAAGAAGCACAAGGTCACGGAAATAGGTCGAGGTCACCTCAGATATATAGCAGCAGTGCTTTGTGGATTCATTATGTTTCTTTTGACTTTTACTTATGAACAATTAGTGCTGTTAAGTAATCAGTGAATTTACACAAAATTGTGTATTGAAAAATCTCTGAAGTTGAAAATAAACACAGGTCTGTTACAGACTGCAATATAACTTTTTATTTTTCTGAGTTTCATTTACAGATTTATTCATATTAAATTATATTAGATGCAATTTACATTTGTGAGGGAGTAGAACCTAATTTTATTCCTTGACAAACAAAAAAAGGTCTTTATTAGGGGGCACTCTCTACCATCTGCTCATAAATTCACCACTGTCTTTGGCTCGTTTATTTAAACAATAAAATGCTTTCTTTGTTTGTTGTTACTGGAATGAACGGAAGCAGCTGTTGCAGAAAAAATACATAACCCGCGTAAGCGGGTTATGTTAATTTTTTTTGCAACAGCTGCGACCGTTCATTCCAGTAACAACAAACAAAGAAAGACATTTTATTGTTTATATTTATATCTGTTTAAATTATCATTTTAAATAGGATTAAAAATATTAATTATTGTGTTAATGATGCGAACGTCTTTGTACGTTTCATTGATGGAACGGCCACTGATCAAGAAATCTGTACAGGTGATATGCCTAATGTAGTTTATGCAGGGATGAACACAATGGGTTTTCTTAAGAAATAAAGAAGAAAATATTCAGTGGATGTAAATATATCATAGTGATAAATAAAGGGAATAGTGTGTGTTTGTTTTAATTCATTTTGATTCATTTTCTTTGTTTTTTTTTAGTTTTGAGATAGATATTTAATAAATCATTGAGCTATTAATTTATTTTGAAGAAATCCTGCAAATATCACGTTTTATACGTTGGGTCAAAAATCTTGATGTGAGCCCATTGCAAAGGTGTAAGTAAGTAAGTAAGTAAATTTTATTTAAAGTCGGCATTGTATACATTACATAACAAGAAACATGAGCTCTGTAGAGCTCTTAAACCGACTATCACAGTTAAAATATCACAAGAAAACATTTACAACATAAATAAAACATGCAAAAACACATGTACATATATACACATACATATGACAGATAAAACGAATTTTAAGAATTTAACAAATTTTAACAATTTATAATTTCTTTAGAATAAGTTAAAGAAAAAAATAGACAACTTGAAAAGCAATATGATTGCATTAAGAGGAACAAAAATAAATATAACGTGAGTATTATCAATAAATAAATAAAAGTCATATGATAGTAATAAAAATTAAGCACTACGTTTAACCCATAAATTTAGATTAAAAATAACTAATTGTATTATTGATGATAATAAAAATAAATAAATAAAAAACGATAAATAAATAAATAAACTTGAAAGTTTAGAAAATTAAAAATTCACACAGACATAGCTAAACCAAATTTAGAAAGAAGAAGGAGAAAATTAAAAAAAAAAACAAAAACAAAAAAAAAACAACAACAACAATAATTTAAAAATAATTTATGTTCCTCGTCAATACACATCCTGCCTAGTGATTGGGTCAGTCCCTACCTACATAGGCAAGATATGCATTGTTGTGGGGGTAAAGAGGGAAAAAAAAAAGGAAAACAATGGAGTAAAATGAGGTGGTATCATTAAGGTAAATGAAAGATTTCAAAAATAAATGAAAATTCGATTGTTTCTAAACTAAGTGAATAAATAACAGATAAATATTGTCTCCTCAGCTATGCAGTCCCACGCTGTGGTTTCTGCAGGAACTGCATTTGCATTTTTCCCACGTCCATGTCTCAATGAAAGTTTTAAATTGGCTGAGGGTGGAAAGTTCCCTAGCATGATTTGGTAAAGAATTCCACAGCGTAGCAGACGCATAGCCGAATGACTGTTTTCCATACCTAGTGGTTCTTGGCCTAGGTAATTTCAGAGTCTTTTGATACCTAAAATTGTATGTGGAATTTCGCTGTTGAACTAAATCTTGCAGGAACAGTGGGCTTTGCTTGTTCATAATTTTGAAAACTTCAAGGGCCATGGCTCTCATACGCCTGATTTTCAGTGAGAGGAGGTTTGATTTTACTAGTAGCTGGTCATAACTGCTTGTGTAGTCATTATATAGGAATCTTAGTGCTCGCTCTTGAAATTTTTTTTATTTATTTTGCAATTTTGTTCACTGCTAAAATGTCATACCAGAGGACAATAACTAAAGTTGGACATTATAAAGGAGTGATAGATGGTAAGTTTACCCAGTTTACAAAGATGTTTCCCGACACGTTTTAACACATTTAATTGTCGAGCTGCTTTCTTGCAAATATTTGATATATGAGAATTGAAGTTTAAATTAAAATCAAAAGTAACACCAAGCAGTTTCACTTCATCCTCACAGGCAAGAGTTGTACCATTCAAGTTTAAAGTAATGTTTTTATCATGCGTCTTTTTCCCCAGTGCTATTGCTTGAAATTTTTCTGGGTTTGCCTGCATTTTATTAGCTGAAAACCAATCGATGAGAGTGCCACTTTCCTTTTGAAGAGTAGTAATAACATTTTGTAAGATAGGATCTGATTTGGATAAGGTGTTGTCGTCTGCATAGTTGTACAAGTCTGAATTCTTTACAAAATAGAAAATGTCATTAATGAAAATATTAAAAATAACTGGCCCAAGAATTGATCCTTGAGGTACACCTTTCAAGATATCCAATAAGGTGCTTATATTTTGACTAATTTTGACACACTGCTTTCTGCAAGATAAATAGTTCTTTATTAGATCTACCGCAGGTGGGGAAAAACCATAAGATTTTAGCTAGAGCAGAACAAGATCATGAGGGAGGCAATCAAATGCCTTGGATAAGTCCATTAAAATAGCAGCAACATATTTATTTTCATCAAGAGCTCTCTTCCAATCCTTGGTGATTCTTAATTAGGTCGATTGGCAACCATACCCTGATCTAAATGCCGCTAAATAAGGGTTAAAAATTTTCTCAAAATAATTTGATATTTGAGTGTTGATTGCATTTTCAAAAACCTTGGAAAGAGCTGGGAGGACGCTTACTGGTCTGTAGTTTCCCTTATCTAGGACGCTGTTCTTTTTGTGAATAGGGACTACTTGGCATCTGGGAAAACTGAGGATAACAACGATATATTTACAAGTTTGGTCAAGGGACTGATAATAACAGGCGCTTTGCGTAATGTAGTAACTTTGGGGAAATCCCATCTATGCCTGTAGCTTTTCTGGTATTGATCTTACTAATTTGTTTACTTATAAATTCTTCATCAATAGATTTGAATTGGAAAGATTGATCACTGAGTTGTGGCAAGTTTTCCCTAATTGCTTTAACACTTGGGTGATTATCGTCAGTGCTTATATTTGAATTTCCTATGTTTTTGGCCACATTAACAAAGAATTCGTTGAAGATTCCTGGTATTTTGGATTGGTCAGTTTCAATCACATCATTTTCTAACAAGACTGTATCTTTCTGTGCACAACTGCCCTTGTTTGTTAAAAAGGGTTTAATAGTGGGCCAGAAGTCCTTAGATTTCGGACCACCTGTACATCTTTCCAAAAAGTAATTATTAACTGATTTATTCTTTAACTTTGTAACATAGTTTCTTTGAACTCTATAGGCTTCCCAGTTCTTACTTGACCTACAAGCTTGGTATTTGTTGTGTAGCATTTTTTTTGTTATAGATAGCTTTGCGTAGTTCTTTGTTCATGTATGGAACCTGATTGGGTCTTATTTTTCTCATTTTCATTGGTGCATGCTTGTCTATAATGGTTACAAACTTGTTGGTAAAATCAGAAAACGCTAAGTTGATATCATTATGGTCCTCATAATAGAAATCCACCTGCGCAAGATCTGATATAAAAGATTCTTCATCAAAATTTTTAAAGGTACGGCATCTCTCCCATTTGCTATCTGGTTGTTTGATGTTGCATTTAAATTGAACACCTATAAAATTATGGACATCACTGAGGCCACAGCTAAAGTTGCATATCTTGTTAATTTTAGTATCATCTTTAGTCAAACAAACATCAAGCAGACTTGGTTTAGTTATTCTGGTGAAACAAGTTGGGCCTTTAACTAGATTTGTAAAATCAAAAATATCACAGATGTCTAGCAAAGGGGCGCTTTTATCCTTATCTAGCAGATCAAAATTCATATCTCCTATAAACATAATGTTATCGTATTTTGTAGTTATTTTGTCCACGTTTTGCAAAAATCATCGTAAAAAGTAGAATTATGAACATTTGGTGGTTTGTATACACTAGATAAAAACCATTTTTGACTATCAACTCTTGTTTCCAGGCCTATTGATTCTAAAATTTCAAATTCAAGTTGCTGAGAGAGGAACGAATGACAGCTCTGCATGGGAGATAGCATTAGGGGGCATCACAATATTTGCACATCACTAAAAGTAGCATTAATTTTCATTTGTATACTACTTTCTTAGATTATGGGAAAATGGAACCTATGTCTATTCATATTAAGCCAATAATTACCTTAGCTAAAACTTGAAGGTTTGAACATCCTCACAACTTTAAGGGCCCCATGACAATGTGTGGACTAATGAATCCTGAAGTGAAGATGAATTTTGATATTCTACTTAGAGAAAAAAATCCCTTTTTAGTAATGAAACGATAATGGGACAATTCTTCTTTTTCAGTCCATACTGAGGCAAATGTCTTGCTTATTACCTGCTTACCACAAAAAATATTTTTTAAAGTTTTTTTTTCCGTTTGTGGTCAAGATTTAAAAGGAGTTGGTGAAAGTACCCTTCCTCATTCTCATCCACTCCTTTGTTGTTTTTTTTCTTCAGTTTAATAAAATTTACAGATAAGAATCAGCAAATTAATACATTCTTTAAGAATACAATCTCTCTCTCTCTCTCTCTCTCTCTCTCTCTCTCTCTCTCTCTCTCTCTCTCTCTCTCTCTCTCTCTCTCTCTCTTGCAGTTATTTTTTTTTTATCAGTCTGTTCACGTTCCCTGGTATTAATTCTTAATAAAATACACAATTATATTGAAATCAGAACGTACATCTTCAATTATTTGAGAAAGGGAAGTATTCTAGATGTTTATTACGAATATTTATTCCAACAACTGGCATACGAAACATTTTAAGATCGACTTAATAAGAAGACGAGCACTAGAGCGCATGCGTTGGCTTTCATAGATACAAAATGGCGCTAATGAAAAGACTTCAAAAATCTGCGGTTGAAATTACTCCAATAGATATCACCCATAATTTAGAATCTTTACAGTTTGAAAGCGCACTGAATGATGACGAAAGACAACTACTCGTTCTTAGGAAAAGATCTCACGCACTGGTAGTAACTATGTGTACACAGGCCACATTTTTCGCCAATATTCTTCATGAAGCAAGGTGCGCTAATTTAAAGTTTCATATGTAATTGTGATGCAACATAAGAATTGGATTTAGAATCTGTTTACATAAATTTATGTACATGTGTTCAAAATTTAATTAGTTTAATCACTGCATATTGAGTGGTTGACATAATCTTGTATTAACATCTGGAATATATCCAGAGAAATGGCTAGAGGGTTATACAACACCAATCTTTAAATCAGATAATCCTAAATTACCCCAAAACTATAGAGGAATAACAATAAACAATAGCATAGCAAAACTTTTTAATATCATTTTAAATAACAGGCTTAATACATATTTAATAGAACATAAAATAATACATGAAACTCAAATAGGTTTCTCAAAGGAATCCAGAACATCAGACCACTTATTCGTAGTAAAATGTCTAATTGACAAATATATCAACACTGGCAATAAAAGGCTATATGCTTGTTTTGTAGATTTTCGCAAAGCTTTCGACACAGTTATTCATGAAGGCATAAAATTAAAACTATTACAATTAAATATAAACGGGCTGTTTTTTAACATTTTGTGCAACATGTACAGACATAGCCATAATCATAATATGTTTTACGGTGTGACCGTTGGGGCGAGCGCAGTTTATTTACTATCATAAACCTACATATGTACTGTCTGTCATTCAAGAAAAATAAAGCAAAAAGAAGAAAACAAACAACAAAAGATATCATTTCCCAAGCATCGGGATCGAGATTCGCAAATTCTCAGAAGTTTCCGACAAAATCGGAAATACCCGAACCGTTGAAGTGACGAAAGTCTGACGTCAGAATGAGATAAAATGTTTTGTTGACTTAGAACGCAAACACTAGTTTTATGGAAAAGAGATTGCATTAAATCGTTCTTTTCATGCAAGTTGTTGTATGTTTAAGCCGAGTTTCACGGAAGCAACCGACATAACTTCGTGAAAATTCGTAAGTTTCCGGTGACGTCATTTGTATCATTTCCGAAGGGCAAGGTGAATGCCGGTGTTGTGGCATGGGGGTATTTTTTTGAATAAGGTAAGGCAAAATCATTTCGTTAAGATTTCGGTAAGAAACAATGTTCCTTTAATTTTTTTTTTACTATTTTTGATTTATTCGCGCAAGGGACATTGGGTAGTGCAGGAATTCTGGGAAGGTTGCACAGAGAAATTTGGCTGACGTATGTACAGATTTCAATCCGAATTTCCTCTGTTCATACACGTTAGTCTATTGAGCTCGCTTCGCGAGCGTCGCTTCGCGACGCTCGCTGCGCTCGCTATAAAAATAGGTAACAAATTAACTCCCCCATATAGACCAGAAATAGGAGTTCGACAGGGAGACGTATTAAGCCCAAATATTTTTAAAATATTTCTCAATGATTTTTCCAGATTACTTGATGAAGAAAATACTGGACATGCTTCTCTTTCTGGAAAGAAAATTTCCTCACTCTTATATGCTGATGATCTTGTTTTATTATCGGATAGCCAAAAAGGACTGCAAAACAAATTAGACCTACTTTACAAATGCTGTACAGACTGGTGCTTAGAAATTAATACAAGTAAAACCAAAGTAGTGATCTTTAATAAAAGTGGTCATTTTATTAATGAAAAGTTCACACTTGAAAATTCCCTTATTGAATGTGTAAACAAATATAAATACTTAGGTATTATTTTAACCTCATGTGGATCCTTCAAAGAAGCAAGATCTCATCTATATTATAAAGCGCTTAAAGCTTCTTTCAAATTATACAAAGACCTAAAAGCTGTTCATCCTCCCATCAAAACACTCCTACATCTTTTTGATCACATGATAAAGCCTGTTGCATTATATGGCTGTGAAATTTGGGGAACCCTTACAGCACGCATACAAGATAAAAACAAACATTTATACGATATTTTTAAAGAGTGGGAGGCAGAAAGCTTAAATATCAAATTTTGTAAATATCTATTGGAAGCTGGGAAGAAAAGTACTAATATTGCAATAATTTCTGAACTGGGAAGATACCCTATGTATTTTTCAATTATTCAAAACATCTTATTATACTGGCATAGGTTGCAATCAAGTCCAGAATCTTCCCTGTTACATAAAGCATATACAGAAAATATTAACCTTAATCAAGGCAATATTAACTGCTGGTACAAAAATGTAATTTATTATAGTAAGAAAATTAATCTCTCATTACCAGAATGTAAAACATACAAAAACACATTTTTAAAAAAACAAGTTAAGAAACATTTGAAAAAACACTTCCTACAATATTGGAAAATGAAACGTGAAGAGGGACTGGAATCTGGAAAACTTACTACTTATTTTATGTTTAAAGAAAATTTTATAATGGAAAAATATATGTACATTAAATCTCATAAAATAAGAAAATCCATTTGCAGATTTAGAATAAGTGCTCATGACCTAAGAATTGAAAAAGGCAGATATGAATCTGTAAAAAATAATGCTGGTCAAAGAATCCCCTTAGATAGAAACAAAAGAATATGTTTAATGTGTAATCAAAACAATATAGAAGATGAATATCATTTTCTTACTGAATGCCCATTATATACTGAGGAGAGAGATAAATTTTTTCGTGATATCTCATTACTAAACAAAAATTTCATATTATTATCAAAAGGAGACAAATTTCTCTGGTTAATGTCTAATGAAGATAATCTAATTATTACAAAGCTAAGTGAATATCTTGTCAAAGCCTTCAAAATAAGGCATAATGCCATGAGTTTTCATAAATAATGTTATAGACACATATTTATTTGTAAACTGGGATATATGTATATTGATAATATTGATTTTGATTGCATGTTAATTAACAATTTGATAACCCCAACTGCTGCATCTACATGTCCAGTTACTTGTAATATTATATCAGATATATACATGTGTGTGTATGTGTGTTTATGTTTGTATATGTTTACTAGCTATATAGTATAACCTTTCTTTTAGAACTTTCTATCTTGTCATTGTAAGAAACCTTTATGCCTTCTGGGCCCAAAATTGGAAATAAAATTATCTTATCTTATCTTATCATAATCATGAAATAGTGCTACATAAGTTTTCACTATGCATTGTTTTTTTATTAACCATGGCAAAGCCACAAGATATAAGGACTGCTTTTTTAAGTACATGTACAGTATGTTGAGAAATAATTTTCTGTTTGTTTCAGGCAAATAAAGAAACAAATGAAAAGTCCTCAGAAGATGACAGCCAAGATCTTGCAGGACAAGGATTCACGAGACCCACTAAAAGTTGGTATCATTGGATGTGGCCGTGTCGGCAGCCAGTTAGCTCACTGTTTGTTAACATATGGCAGAGTGAATCCAAAAGACCTTAAAGTATCCACCAGACGACCAGAAACACTGGGTAAATTTAATCTAAAGAGATGTAGGATTGCTCCCTGCTTCATTGTTTTTCACATGTAGGAAAAGTGCATGGGGGTCCATAACCCCAAGTCTCTGTGGTTTTTCACGTTATATTAGTAAGAACTGGATACATTTAGAGCCAGAATTAGCCATATCAATTAAAGTGATCAAGCTCTTGTTTAGACTTGAAAGTACACAAATAATCAAAGTTTTGCTGTGTCATTTTCCCCTCTTCTATTAGAAACTGAGATTTAATGGTTTCATCTGGAAAATTTCACACAAATACTTGGATGAAACCTAATTGCATTAAACCTAGCAGTGGGGAGAAAAAAATGCCCCAAAAAGGAATAATCCTGAATAGTATACTAGTTTTAATGTTATATATAAATATTCATGCTAGTTGAGATAAATTGCAACTTATAAACTAAAGGTAGACATGAACAATTGTTTTAAATTTATAATGGTATCATGTTGTCAATTTTACAAGGCAAGTTACCAAACCTAATGTACCCAGCTCTTTACCTGCATGAATATAAACTTACTCTAGAAAGATTTTTTTGGACAGTAAATGAATCAAATGTACTAAGTAGAGAGTCCTTGGTCTAAATCAAAACCATTTCAATACATGCACAAATCATGATCCTGTCCAGAACTTGGGAAACATCTGCAAATAAGAAATCTAGATAAGCAACAAAAATAATTGATTATCAATTTTTTCATTTCAGAGTACTTACAGAATAAGGGTGTTGACTGTTTTCATGACAATATAAAACTAGCCTCTACTTCACATGTGGTGTTCATCTGTGTACTGCCATCTCATGTACAAGTCGTGGCGGAGGAAATCAAAGAACACATTCCTACACACACCATCACCTACAGCTTTGTCGCTGCCTACTCAGTCCAAAAACTCAAACAAATTCTACAGACTACGAATATACTAAAACCTGACCTAACATGGACCAAAGAAAGTGAACAAAATTCCTGGGACTGTTCAGAAAATGTGAATACTGCTCTCGAAAATCCTGTTACAGTTGAAAAGACATGTCCATTTGGAAATCTTAGATCTGGTAGGTCTTTTTTTTTTATTATATATCTTTTTTCATCACTGGCCAATCCATCCCCTACCCCAGAAAATCAGATTTTTTTTTACATGTTAATAAATCATTAAATTTAAATTGGAAAAAAAAACTTTCAATTAAATAAAAATGTTTATGTCAAAATGCACCAATTACAGAATGTGTGATTTTGACCAATGAGAAGTTCGGGGAATTGATGATATTTGCTCTCCTTAATATGTGTACAAGTCTACGACTGAACAAGGCAGACTGCTTGACAATTCTTCACACAACACTTTTTTGTGACATCTCGGAGGATAAACTTCAGGAGTCTGACTTCATCAAAAAGAATCAAGATATGCACGGGTAATATAAACACTCCTGTGCAGAATCAGTCAAGATATAAATGGATAATGTTAATGTACATGTAGTATCAAAGCCATTGCAGTAAAGCATATTAAATTTTATAGCAAGTCCACAGTAAATATACAGTGAATTCTTACCAGATCAGTTAGTATAACAAGTTACTCAAATGCTTCTCAAAAGGTCTTAGTTTTGAATTATTAAAGAAACCTTTGTAGTATTCTTTTACCACGCACACTTGACTTGATGTTACATATTTTTAATATATAATAATTATTAGGTATGTGTGGGGTTATGATTTTTTTAATGAGAAAAATATGTAACATCAATTTCCTGTGGTATTTTCAGGGTTTTCCACTTTTGACACATTATCAAGTTTGTTTTAAAATTTTGTTTCAGCCTAATTCTGTAAAATGTACCTGTATTTTTAGAGTATTCCCGCGGTTTGACTTGGTGAAGGTATCTCAGGTGAATACATCTGTGCAGAAGCGTGTGTCGACCAGTGAACATTTAAGAAAGGCTTTCATAAACAGATATCTGACAATGTTTGAAGAATACTTGAAAAGGAAAGCCCTGCTTGGTCCAGACATGGATGAAACTTAACTCAGAGTTTTGTGCTAAATTGTAAGAGCTGATACATATCAATAAATAAAAATTATAGTACCGGGTATATTCATTTTTTTTTTTTATTAAATCAACATTTTTTATAATTTCATAATCATTTTTAAAAACCCATTAAATTTCTTTAACATTGTACACAGATTCAAATATATAAGTCAACAATAATAAAACAAATTGTAATAATATTCACACTCTTACAAAAACAAAAGTAATTGATCCCACATGAACATTAATTACATGTAATTTCTCTCACATACATAAATTACTCTTGCATATGAGCAAACCATAATTACACTTGCAAACACTCTATACATACTCTCACATAACCAAGTTGTAATTACTTTCAAAAAGTTTATTGATTCATTAAGAGGATTGTCATTTGGGTTGATCTGAACTTCTCCATTCACTTCGTACGTTATAATTCTGTCTGTGGAGTAGAAAGGGTATAAAAATTAAACACTCTTTTCTGACCTTAAACTTTTAAAATAAGCATTGGTATTTGCTCCCTGTGTTCTTTTTTTTTTATTTATTTATTTAAGAATTCTATATTATCTTTTCAGTTGAATTTATTAATTAAATATATATAGATAGATAAATGATAAAAAAAATAGATATCCTTCATGGAGTTTAAGTTAACAAAATCTTTAAAATTTACAGTACATGTCCTAGAAAAAAGTTTTACTATGGGTAAAGTGTGAAGCAAACTTGCACAAGGGCAGAAGCTTTAGACATGTACTGTACTACTAAAGGATTTCATAGTCTGCTTTGACCTTGACATCTTCTGACCCTTAACCTTTCTTGTACCTATGGTTCACTGTACATCATTACCTGAGGTCACTTGTGGTCAAATAACCCTGAGCAAAATTAGACCAATGGAAGAAAAAAGTTTTTGCACAGTAATTTTCTTTGACAATTCACCTGAACATTCTGTGAGTAATAGCAGAAATAAAATATTTTCCACTGAGGTGATTTAAGCAAGAGTTATTCTCCATGTCCGCCATTCCTAGTTCCCATCTTTAGTCAACCAAGTTCAGTTTGTTTTACTGGTTATTGAGGTAAAGATAACACCATTTTTCTTATCAATATACATTTTGTTAAAGCCTCTATTAATTCATAATTTTAAGATTGTAAATATTTTCCCCCATATATTTCTTGCATGCATATTTAGAATTGGTTGCTCGAAGAGGAAAATTCACTGCTTTGCCCTACAGGATGGCGGCTGCTAAGGGGAAAAACTCCTAGGCAAAATACCTCATAGGAATTAAAAGGATCTATTTTCAGATAAGATTTTGGACAGAGGAGACTGCACAACCTTTCCACAAGAGCATATGAACCATACTGGGTCAAGAGAATAGAAAATAAAGAGTTTTCATTGAAAACTGTTTTAATCATTTTTGACCTAAAAACTTGGAACAATCATGAATGTCAATGATACTTTGTGTGTGTAAAACATTATCACACTGAGGCATGGGGTGAGAAAATATACTCCAAACACATAGTACCAGCATTAGATTGACAGACTGACTTATGTAAGATGTTGATAGAAAGAGCCCCGTGATCAACTTACTTTTTACCGAATTGGGTTAATCCGATCACATAGATAATCAAAATAAAAATCCTTATATAAGGAGCGTAAACCACAGTGTCTTTGGTCTCCTCACTGGACAAACCTTGGTTGTAAAACTCCTCCCTATAATACAAAAAATTACCTTTTTACAAAATTTCTTTACCTGAAGCAGAACAGGTCTACATCACATGAAATATTTTAGAGTATAAGCACATGTATTTAGACACACCCAATTTATGATCAAGTGCATAATACATTGTACTAGAAATAAAATAACAGTTTCTGATTTACTTTCTTGTTTCAACAAGAATTAACAAAAAGGTTTAGCCACCTTAGGAATGTATACATACCCCTTTAACTTTTTGTCATATCTGGCCCTTTTACTCTCGTTTATTAGAACATTATAGGCTTTATTCAACTCCACAAAGTTCTGAACATCTTTTGTTCCACTGTTACTGTCTGGGTGCATCTACCAACAGTACAGAAACATAGGTTATCAAAGATTACAAAGCTCACCTCGACGAATGTTATCAGTGTAAGTAATGCAAATCTCACATCATATTTTCTTAATATTTAGTATTTATCCTGACAACAATATTCTGTTCTGCAAGTTCTGTTTAACCCCTTACATGGCGTATACACATTTCTACACGTCTAGCATGAAAAACATATATAGTGTAAACAAATATTCATAACTTTGTTAATACTGCATATCTAGGACTAGGAAGTTCATTGGGATTGATCTGTTCCAAAAACTTTAACCTGGTCTCTTGTTTGGAAAATAAAGTCAGATCCAGCATCCGAAGCAAGTCTGTGAGTGTCCATCCCCAGATGCATCATCCATGCAAGTTTGGTTCTGGTAGGGCTTATAGTTACTTGGGAATGAAAATGTAGGTATCCAGCATCCAAAGCAAGTCTGGTAGTGTCCATCCCTAGATGCATCATCCATGCAAGTTTGGTTCAGGTAGGGCTTAGAGTTATTTGGGAACGAAAATGTAGGTCAGATCCAGCATCCGAAGCAAGTCTGGTAGTGTCCATCCCTAGATGCATCACCCATGCAAGTTTGGTCCAGGTAGGGCTTATAGTCCCTTGGGAATGGACCTGCTCCAAAAACTTCAACTTGGTCACTCATCTGGAAAATTTAGGTCAGATCCAGCATCCGAAGCAAGCCTGGTAGAGTCCATCCATAGATGCATCATCCATGCAAGTTTGGTCCAAGTAGGGCTTATAGTTACTTGGGAATGGACTTGCTCCTAAAACTTTAACCTGGGACGCCGACCCCAATGCCGGAGGTATAGCATAAGCTCATCTCGACTTCGTCGAGGGGAGCTAAAAATGCTTCTTAGCTCAAAAATAAAAAAATATATCCAAGAAGTTTTTATCATAAATTAAAATTGTCATTATATATAGTCAATGTCTATTGATTAAGTCACTCTTTACCGTTTTACACAATTCAAAGTATGCCTCCTTGATTTCTTTACTAGAAGCATCCTTCTTTACTCCCAGTATCTCGTAGTTTGTGGGCGGTTCCTTGCTTGTTGTCCAGAAACATTGCCTGAAAAAAGGGAGGTAAAATGAGGTTTTTTGAATGTATATACATGTATCAAATGCATCATTAGATCATTAGATGGATTATCTTATGTTTGAGTTCAACATCCTTATTCATGTACTAAGGAGAGAGACCATGCTCCAGGGCGACAAAGCTTGAATGAGCTCACTGTTGATCTCGGTTTCACTTTCCACTAAAAATTCCTTTTGAAAAGTGAAACAGATCAAAAGTGAGCTCATCTTAGTTTTGTGACCTCAGAGCCTGGTCAAAAAACATCAGACACTTATTCAGAAAATTAAATTCAAGTAGAGCATGCAAAGTATGCTTGGTGGTGCATCATCCCTGCAAGTCTGATCCAGGTACATGTAGGTTTAACAGTTCCTAGTCAATAAAAGAAACTACTCAAAAAATCTCCACTGTCCATTTACCTAGGTACCCCCAATGATGTTACAGATATGTGTCTAACATTAGAAATATATAGAAATAAAATTAAAGTGAATAATTTTCAGCAAAAGTGTAAAATCAATGTTCCCATGTAAGAAAATGTAGTAGATATGTTCCTATGTAAGTTGAGTTAATCCTAGCTACTGATCATCTCAAGAGTTATACTGGCCTATTCTACTTAATTTTGCAGTGGCGGATCCAGAAGTTCATGTGGGGGGGTTTTGAGGCCCAAAGGGCCGAAGGGGGAGGGCATGGGAGGGGGTGTCCCCCTCCCATAGGTGGGGGTTCGGGGGGCCTCCCCCGAGAAAATTTTGTTTTAAATGGTTCTAAATGGTGCATTCTCCAGCATTTTGGGGGTACTTTTTGTAGCTTTTTTAAAGACCGATCATCACAAATTTTTAATAAAATGTTTTCAATTTAATTTAACTTTAACACAAGACTTTAGGCTTTGTTTAAAAAAAATGTTAAGGTCAAGATCTAGTAAATAACTTTCTTGGTGCTAGATCCATTATGACGTCATAATCAATTTCAACTTTCTTTTTCCCGTACTTTACATCTTTGGCAGAATTATGTAGAAAATGGGGTATTTCCATGACATTCAATTTGAAATCATATGAAAAGTAAACTGGATACCTTTATTAAATTTGATTTTGATTTAAAGAAGAGGCATGAACATACAAATTACTGTTTTCTGAGAGACTGTAGGCAATCTGGATGCATTTCCTATGGCGAGTATGAAAAAAACTCCCATATTCATGATTGGTTTTCTTAATTTTTCATTGAAAATGACAGTTTAGAACACAGTTTTTCATCTTGTTTACCTTCAATTTATGCCCCGAAACACCTCATTTGACCAAGCTAAAGTTGTAAAGCATCAATAAAGGAATTTATTTTTCAAATTTGATAAATCTGTAGGCACCCTTCATTTACTAGATCTTGACCTTAAAACTAGGAATGCAAGCAGTTGACTTCAAGTTGTCTTAGTTTACTTTAAATGCACCTACAATTAATTTAGTCATATGTCAAGCTAACTTCCAAGATACAACTAATATACCAAATTTTTAAACACTAAAAATTTAAAATTGAATTCTTTTCAGAATCCCTAACTTGTGCTTTTCAACTTACTAGAGTATATACTGTCAATATGATTTGGAATATAACCACACGTCTACAATTAATGAAATTACAAACTGTCTTAACTGAAGAAAAAAATTACATAAACTGGAGAATCTGTCAAAACTAGAGGGGTTTGCTAAGCCAACCTGTTTTTGTAAAAAAAAAAATACATGTACATGTATATTAATTTAATTTTAGAACGGTAAAAAAAACCTGCATGAATAATAGTTTATTCATAGTTTAAAAACATGCATTTTATCAGCAAAAGAATATTACTGAGCAGCACCGTAACTTTGCAGTTTTCTGTTGTTGGTACCTGACTACATTGTACTGTGACCTTGTGACTTCACTAGATGCACGGACTACCCGATCTCTGAGGCACTCTATGTTGATTACCTGTGTATTGTGTGCGTTCAAGCGGAAAGTGATTTCCTGTTACGTAGTGGATGTATATTTCACAGTTGTACAAACAAAGGGTTTATGTTTATTAGAGTCTTATCAATGCAACAAAATGATAAAATGACACTTGTAAAAAAAAAAAAAAAAAATCAATGAGCAGGGGGGTTTTCCCGAACCCCCCCAAACCCCCCTGAATCCGCCCTTGTTTTGGGATGACACAAAAAATCAAAACTGGTGTAAAAATATGCTGAAAACTTGAATTGTGTATATGCAAGTCATGGAAAAATTATTTTAAGAAAAAACATTCGGGAAAGGCAGAATTATAACCATGGGACAGCTGCAGATTCTTGTGACTGCTAACTTATGTTCATGAGACTCCAGGTGAATGATGAATTCATTTGACAGTTCTATCTAAATCACCCTTTCCAAATCAGAAATGTGGGAGGAATTAACATGTTTTGAAGCACCTTGTGTGTTTGAAGAAGTCTGTGAATGCTCTGCTCACATTTCGTATTGTAGCAATGGTTTTAGTGTGATTATTGGTCTTTATGCTCATGTTTTAATGATAGAAATAATACAATATGTGACTTTATGATTTATCATGTCATGTTACCCTTTCACTGCCAGGAGGTTTTTACAAGGAGTAAAGGCAGTGACATTCTTGGAGACTGCAGACTTGATACAGTACATGCTAAACACCGATTGGTTATTCCATTCTCCACTACCTGTTCATTTTCTGAAAAAGAAAAGTTGTCCAAGAAATTACATTTACAAAACGAAATCTGTCTAATATAAAATTAGCATAAATGGTGGTTCTATAATTTTGCAAGCGAAATTTTGATCAGAAAACGTGGATATTACATCTTTAACCACACCGACAACCTATAGTACATGTACAACAGCGGGTAGATAGATATCAGATGAGCACACTGTTAATAACATGACTATCCGTGATTGAAATGTCTCTTTACAATACATATAATTTGTTATCCTCCTTGCATTTATTTGATTCATCAGTTGCATAACAGTTCCACCCTTCAGTAATTAGTTTACGTCTCCAAGTAGATACTTACAAAGGACATGCAATGTACACACGATATTTTTGTTTACATAACTGGACCAAACAACCGGATGCTTAGTGAAGGAAACTAAAAATAAAACCAATGTCCTACAAGATTTTTTCCGGATTGATATAATGTGGAATGCTGTCAGTGCCCTTTCTTCTGTTTACATTTTGAAATGATTATATCCTAGTAGTTTAAGTTAATTTTAACATTTTATCTGAAGCATTAAAAATTCCAATGCAGTGTACAGGGGTAGATATAATTCAATTTGCCACCCTCGGCCTCCCCGACAATTACTAAATTCAGGGGCGTAGCAACAGGGGGGCCAGGGGGGGCCTGGCCCCCCCACTTTTTTTCCCTGAGCCTTACTTATACTATAGGAAATGTTAATTGAAAGCCTGGTTGGCCCCCACTTTTAGACTTTTAGTGATGTACCGAAAATGTAGTATTAGAATTGGAGTACTAAAAAGGATTTTCGACTTTGGGCAACTTTTTTTTCCTTTTTTTTTTTTTTTTTTTTTTTTTGCTTGTCAACTTTTTCAGGTAAGTAAAACAATTTTTTTCTCTGGCTGGCCCCCCCCCCCACTTTCAAAAACGATGCTACGCCACTGCTAATCATATACGCACTTTCAGCTTCTGGGTATTTCCTCAAAATTTGCTTTAGAGGAAGTGTAAAACATTATTAGGCACTATAAAATTGTACATAGGTCTTTCATTTAATGAAACTCTTAAATTATTCAGAAAATGGGGGGGGGGGGGGGGGGGGGGGGGGCTAGCGAGGATATATACCTAAATGCTATAATACATGTATATATATCTCCTTAACTCCGTACCGGTACTTTGGCAACTGCAATTATTATAAACAATTGGAATTCTGTATTTTTTTTTTTATAATACACTCTTCCAAATAATCATTGGTCAAAATTTACTCCAGGAACTTTTATTTCAATTTTGATTGTTATTGTTAATTCATAATACATGTACCTTAATTAAACAGCTGTTAAAGAAATTAATTCAAAGAAGTCTTTAAGACTCTAGATCTTCAATTTTTTTCTATTGTACCCCACTTCAAGATCTGCAAGGATGCACACTGTCTGTTTTCTATTCCTTGAAACATTTTTGAAGTCTCTGTTGGCATTTTTCAAAGCTCCAGCGCATAATTTGAAAACATACATTTATTCCAGCATAATTTTTTAACTTTGCTTGATTCCTTGGGATATCAATTAAAATAATTCCTTGAAATTTAAGAATAACACTTAAGTTTAAAGATTTCTCCATGTAAGTTTGATTTAACAGGAAGATATTGTTCATGATCATTACAAATTTAAGCCTATAGAAATTTGCTCAGGACAAATACAATGTTAAGAAAAAGAATTGGTTGTAAAAACTATTTTTAATCTTTCATTTTAAAACTGTTATAAATAACTGCAGTAAAAAAAAATCATCTCAATATCACATAAGAAAAGTTTCACTTCTTTTCACTAAGTTCGTTAAAATCTGCTCCTCTCCAATAATTTCCATATCCATGGGATATAATAATCCTGTAAAAGGAAAAGAAATATCATTAAAACAACACAAAGTGAAATAATTATTTTCTTACAATTGCCATTTCGTTTTACAAGAGAGAAAGTTGTAAAGTAAATATCAAGGAAAATCAAAAAGATTGATAAATCTGCATGACTATTACAGCAAGCTAGAGTTTCATGGTACATGTAATATTGTTTATACTCAGCTTTATGTCACTATATGTATATAATCAGCATATGGATGCTAATCGAGGCTCACACTTTGATAGACTGCGCATGCGTGAGCTGAATGAGAGTCATGATTTTTCGAGCTCTGAATATAAGATATTTTCAGTTTAAAATTAACAAACTTTGGGGGATTTACCGAATGATTTCAACTGCGTGTTATGAGGCCTAAAACATCTGGAAGTGGATCCAGCGGTTCTAGTGGAAATAAATCTAAGAAAGGGAAGAAAAGAAAAGAAGGCCCAGATTTGAGCAGTGAAGCGCAACAAAGAAAAGTAAGTGTTATGAGTACTTCTCAAGACAATGTAGACACACAAAGAATCTCGCAACCGTTATTCTCAACTCCAATAAACAATCAACAGAGTATGCAGAACAATCAAAATAATACATACCAAATACCACAAATGTCTCAGTTGCCTGTAATGAATTACAGTTTCTCACCTGTAGCGCCTGTTCACCCTGTACAACAGGTACAACAATATCAGGGTGGATTACAGCCAATTGATTATGGTAATAAAATAGACAATTTGGCCAAAACATTGGACAAAGTTTGCCAAAAATTGGATAAACTTGATCAAATTGAATCTAGAATTAGCAAATTTGAAGCAACAATGAATACTGTCACAACTGACGTGCTTGAATTGAAAACAAAAATGTCAGACATTGAAAAAAACATTATATTCACTAGTGAAAAGTTAGATGAGAATGAAGAAACATCAAAAGAGATAGTAGCAGAAATGAAGAGATCCAAAAAAATACATGAGAATTTAGAAAAAGAGAGTGAGGCACTTAGAGAACAAATGACAATTATGACAAAAAAAATGTTAGATCTAAAAGACCAGCAAAATGAATTACAAGCAAGGTCTATGCGTGACAACCTTATATTTGTGGGAATTCATGAACCAAAAGATGAAACATCAGAACAATGTGAGCAGGCACTAAAAGCGTTCATGTCTGAAAAACTCGGAATAACGGATGAAATTCCATTTCATTGAGTACATCGTATGGGCCGGAAGCAAGAGGCAAAATCTCGGGCAGTTGTGGCAAAATTTGTAAACTTTAAGGATCGTGAAAAGGTCCGAAAAACTGCAATCACGGTGATCACCGATCTACGGGAACGAGGCGATCAAGGCAACGCAGATTTCAGTGTATTCGAGCAATTTCCCAAGGAAATAAACGATAACCGGAAAATATTATACCCGCATTACAAAGAAGCTAAACGACAGGGCATCAAAGCGCAACTGGTTATGGATAAACTCTATATCAACGGCGAGCGATTCGTGGCGACAGATTTCGGACAGGAAAACCCATGTAACGCACCAGCGGCACCACACAACGTAGATCCGCGCCTAACTCCAATGGCCCGTGAATTTCGACCATTCAACAGACGCGGCTCAGTAAGTCAAAGGTAGGATAACCTAGGAGGAAATCTACCACGTGACAATTTAGTGGACAGTGATCCAACCGACTCTCTCGATTCATCCACTGGAACTGATTGCAAACTTAAAATCTTAGGATTAAATGTTTGTGGTTTAAGTAGACGCATAAATTATCCAGAATTTTCAACATTTATCTCTTCCTTTGATATATTGTGTTTTACAGAGACAAAAACTGATGATACTACACCGATTGATCACAATTATTTTTTGTTTGATGCTAAAAATAGGCACGGATTTTCAAACAGACGTTCTGGTGGTATTGTAATTGGATACAAAAAATCTATCAAAGATTATGTAACTATCGTTCACACAGATTGTAAATTTGTTCACTGGTTAAGATTAAAATCTTCTTTAATTAATTCAGATAAAGACTTGATTTTAGGTGTTGTTTATATACCACCAGAAAGTTCTATATATAGTTCAAGGGAAGCTTTTGAAGAAATTGAACTTGAATTTTTGAATTTACAAAGTGAATTTAGCCATATATGCCTAATTGGAGATTTTAATGCAAGAACTTCTGATAGAGATGATTTTATTGAACCAGATGACATATCAAATCAAGAATTTGAGTTAGATGATCCCAGTTTAGACTGTCTCTCAAATGTATTTGAATTACAAAAGAGAAATGTACCAAGGAAACGAAAATCATTAGATAAAACAAAGAATAATTTTGGAAACAATTTATTAAATTTTTGTAAAAATAACAATATGTATTTATTGAATGGAAGATTAGAAGAGGGTAAATTTACTACAACAAAATCAAGTGTGGTCGATTATTGTATATGTAGTGTTGAATTTTTGAAACATGTGCAAAATTTTTCTGTACTAGAATTCAATAGGTTATATTCTGATATCCATATGCCACTACTTTGTGAAATAAGTGTGAACTCATATATCTCAAATGATAACTACCAAACTAAAGAAGAAAGTAAGAAAAATAAAAATAATTTTTCGTGTCAGAAGATAAAACCATGGGATAATGAAAAAACAGAAGAATTTTGTCAAAATATTGATTTAAATGTTCTAAGAAAATTAAAATATGACTTGAGCAATATTGATATCAATGATTTAAATAAAAACCAGGTTAATGAAATCTTTTCAGACACTGCAGGTCTACTGCTTGACTCGGCACGCACAACTTTTGGAATCTTTAATGCTCGCCAAACTCACAATAAACTACCACAGAAAAGAAAAGAATGGTTTGATAAAGAATGCAAAATAGCACAAAAAAAATATAGGAAATCAAAACGAATGTTTAGGAAATATCGTTCAAGCATCTTAAAAGAAGAAGTACGTATCAATGAACGTAAATATAAAAATACTATGGATAAAAGTATGAAAAAACATAGAAATTTAATTATGAAAAAAATTAGAAAACTGGGAAGTAACGATCCAAAAAGTTATTGGAAAATAATTAATAAAAGGCCGAACAACAAAAAATGTGATATTAATATTGATGAATTTTACAATTACTTTAAAAACGTCAATAATGGCGATGTAAATAATGACGAACCACTATCAAATGAGATTAGAAATACATATACTAATGAAGAACTAGACTCAGTGATAACTGAAGATGAGATAAAACACGCAATTGAAAATATTAAAAATAACAAAAGTTCTGGAAGCGATGAAATTTATAATGAATACATAAAATCCTCTGCTAGTATTATGTTACCGGTATATGTTATGTTATTTAATATTGTTTTTAACTCAGCAATTTTACCTGAAGCTTGGATTGTTGGTGATATATTGCCTATTTATAAAAATAAGGGGAACGACAATGACCCTGAAAACTATAGACCTATAACTTTATTAAGTTGCATGGGTAAATTATTCACATCCATCTTAGCTAAACGATTAAATAATTATGCTGAGCAATATGATATACTAAATGAAAA